TGAGATGGGCAGCCTGGCATGGTCTATGAATTAATGAGGAGCCTTGAGAGGAGAACGAGGGCAACCATAGAGAAAGCAGTTCAGAGAGAGGAGGAAGAGGAGGAGGCGGAGGCGCGGGCAGGTTTCCAAGGTCTACAAGGGAAGGACCGCAAGCGCTTCTCCCATAGATTTGTAGTGGTAGACTAGCATAGATGGTCTGATCTGCGGGTTTACTTCGGGCACTATTCCCCCCCTTCCTCCCACCCCACCTGATGGAATTGAGAGCTGCAGATGGAGCACGAGAGAAAAGATACAGAACTGCAGCAGCATCTTCGTAGTTTGGACTTTGTTTTGCGCGAAAAGTGGTTGCTGCTTGTAGTTATTTAACTGCAGTGTTTCATTGGCTGGTGTCTTGAGCAGCAACCTCTGGAAATGAAGGGCTAAAAACCGGCGCTGCTCTCCAAAATTATCTGGTCCCTTATTTTCAAATCTGTAAGTTGACAGCTATGGCAATTTTGTGCCCCGGATGGGTAAAATAAATATCAGAACCACATAGCTACCAAAATTTTATGGGAATAGGACCAGCTGTGTAGAAGTGAGGCTGTAATACGGGATGTTGCCTTGCAGTGTTTTGGTCCTTCGATTTCACAGCCTGTTCCAGAGGGAGTCATTAGGACTTCGCAGCTCCAGCCCCAGGAACTATTTAGTAGGGTGTTGCAGGGTTCAATCTCTCTTATGCTAACTAACATTTAGATGAAGTCGCTGGGCTAGATTCTCCAGACGATTGAAGTGTGTCATCATTAACGTTCCAGTATAGCATGCCCAACCCTATTAAAAATAAAATAAAATTTCTCTTTCCTATTTTTCTTTTTACAATGTTTCTCCAACAAAAATTAAATCTAAACAAAAACCAACCTTCTCTTCGACTTCCCTCCCCTCCCCTCTTTCTTATTTACTGCACAACCAATTCCAACCTATTTGTGAATTTAATCTTTTTACTCTCTGTAGGTTTTTGTTTTTTTACTGCTTGTGTTTATGTCAATCCTGCCAACGTTTTTGATTGTTTACAATTTGTCTACATATATTAAACAATTTCCCCGCTGTCTGTTAAAAAAGGTCTCTCACCTTGATTTCTTATTCTTTTGTTAAGTTTCAACACCACTGCATATTCCATCAGTTTTAATTGCCAAACTTCTTTTGTTGGGACTGTTTCTTATTTCCATCTTTGGCATAGAATTCAAATGAGACATTTGATGGTACTTCTTGATAAGGCGATATGGGAGTCATCTATTCTGAACGGATTATTACGCAGCACTTGAAAGCTTTTCAGTTTAGCTTTTTTCACATATAGGTTTTCAGGGGATGTGTGATTTAGGAGAGCTGCGGGATTCTGATGATGTGTTGTGGACAGGAGTGCTTTTTTCCCATCTCAGGCCGGTATGCTAACTACACTCCTTGCTTTGATAAGAGATTGGCACATCCAATTTTGCTGCCTGAGTTGAAACGGGAATGTGCCCCTCCTGCCACTGCCACCCCACCACTTACTGGGGTTGTGCGAGAGAGGTCTGCAAGATCTCACTCATTGCGGAGCTGCTTCCTCTGGTGCTCTGCCTCATCCCCACCGTATATAGGTTAATAGCTGAAAATCCCCTTAAAACCCTATTCCTGCGTATCATACAACCTATGTCAGCCATTAGCAACAGTTATTAATAGTACACAGATGTACTGTATGGTTTTTAATCTCTGTGTAGAAGCCAGCAGCATTGTACGCACTTCATAAAAATATAAATTAATACAATAAAAGCATTTATGTTCTCCGGTGTATTAGTGTCTATCTAATCCACAGAAATTCCAGCACTGCGTACACACACACACATAACTTGTAGGATACCATTTGCATTTAACAGCTGCGTTGCAAGCAGAAATTCAGCAGGTGCAACTTTCTCCATCACTGCAAGATGGGAAAGACCTGCTGTTGAATTTCTGATACTATGATAGAGTTAAAAGATATAGCTTTCAGGGGACTGGGGGGAGGGGGAACGACAGCCCTTTCAGTCTGTCCACAGCACGACTGTGATGCAAGTGTTGCACACACCATCCGTGGGCAATGCCAACAGGGCAACAGCTGAGTGGTGCAGCGATAAAACCGCTAGCACATTCGCTTGTTGTATTTTGTTGGTGGTGAGAGAGGTTGGTGGTGGCTTAGGGTGTGGTTGGTTGTCTTTGGTTGGCTGTAGTGAGAATTGTTTTTGTGTGTGAGCGGATATTTGTGTGTGTGTGTGTGTGTGTGTGTATTTTTGAATCACCCATACAAGTAACACTGACAGGAAACCCCACACATTCACTAAGTAGAATAATAGTGAAGGGGCATATTACAATATTGTTCTATTTATCCCCAAAGGGGAGGTTTTTCTACACCAGCCAGAAGGACAGGGTTTTTTCTGTTGCTTAAACGTTACAGTGCAAATGGGCCTCCCATTCCAAAGAATGTCTAGGCTTAGGCGGGTGAAAGATAAGAGCAAGGCTAAAATGGATGTTATTCTGGCCCCAGACGGGGGGGGGGGGACTGAAGACAAGGAGGCAAGTTGAAAGGGAGGAGGGTAACGCAGGAGACAAAGCCCCATCTTATTGCTATTAGTATAAATCACATGTTTTACATGTGAACACGTGTCGAGGTTCATGGCGTGGAAAGGCTGGTGCAGGAAGGAAGGGGGTCAAGCCCATGTAAGGACATAGGAAGTTGCCATAACTTTTGGTTTACAAGAAATCAGGTGGTTCACAAGAAATCAGGTGATAGTGTATTCTGCAAATGTATAAAAAGCTGGCTCGCTCAGAGTTTGGGGGCAGACATTGGGTAACGCGTGTCTGTACCATTCTTTTGTCATGACAAAATAAAGGGATTTTTCCTGCAGTCATTTTGACTCTTTTCAAGCGTCTCTGTTGCTCCAAAGATCCCATCAGAAAAGGGGGTCATAAAGAATGTCCTACAATAGAAGCATAACCACCCAACCCCACCCAACTTACCATCCCCCTCCCGTCTTCCCCCCCTTTTCTTCCTAATGGTTTAAACCAATTCATGAACCAATAACCTCCTTTTGTAGTTGACCTCCTTTGTAATGTTTTATTTTGAAATCTTTTAAGATAATATTTTAGTTTTCTGTTAATTAAATACTCTATATTTGACTTCCTTCAGATTGTGTTATTGATGTTTTAATATTCTGTAAGCCGCTTTGAGATTTTTCTTAAAAATGTAAAGCGGTATAGAAATGAAATTACAGTGGTACCTCGGGTTACATATGCTTCAGGTTACTTACGTTGCAGGTTACAGACTCCGCTAACCCAGAAATAGTACCTCAGGTTAAGAACTTTGCTTCAGGATGAGAACAGAAATTGCATGGCGGCGGTGCGGGAGACCCCATTAGCTAAAGTGGTACCTCAGGTTAAGAACAGTTTCAGGTTAAGAACGGACCTCCGGAATGAATTAAGTTCTTAACCCGAGGTACCAATGTAATAATAACAACTTATGCATTGACCACTAATAATGAATCCTATGTTGTAGATATCACTCCACATTCATTATGCTATTTTTGTGATATACAAATGACATGAGAAAACTTGGTATACTGATTTGTATAACATTATTCTAGTTTATAAACCCCCACTCCCACCCCCAAAGAAAACCACTAGCACATTTGCAAAGCTAAGCAGGGTCTGGTCTGGTTTCAAACTGGAAGGGGGACTGCATTGTTGAGAAGGTTGGACTTAGATGACCCTTGGCATCCCTTCCAACTCTATAATTCTGGAGGCTGGTGGGGGGCAGGAAGGTAGAGAGTCCTGGGAGGCGGAGATGGGAATCAGGGGGGAGAAGGGAGACAGTCGTTTATCAGCGAGGCCTCCAGGTGGCGTTAATGCCAAGAAACAAGGAGGCCTCCCACGTCATAGAGAAAGGGAAAGCAGGTGATGGAGAAAAATGTTTCTACTCGCTTCCCCAACAATTAAGGCATTGTTCCACTTTCCAGTTTCAGGGATAACACTTCTGTGTGCAGCCGAACTCCTCCGGATTACGGCGGGGAAGAATCATGGAGTCGGAAGGGATCCCCAAGGGGTCAGCAAGCTTTTTCAGCCGTATGCCGGTCCACCGTCCCTCAGACCATGTGGGGGGCCGGACTATATTTTGGAAAAAAATATGAACGAATTCCTATGCCCCACAAATAACCCAGAGATGCATTTTAAATAAAAGGACACATTCAACTCATGTAAAAACACGCTGATTCCCGGAGCGTCCGTGGGCCGGATTGAGAAGGCGATTGGGCCTGATCCGGCCAGCGGGCCTTAGTTTGCCTACCCCTGCCCAAGGGCCATCTAGTCCAACCCCCCGCAGTGCGGGAATCGCAACTAAAGAGTGGGCAATAGATCAATTTGCTGCAATCTAATGAGAGTGATGTGGGGTGTTTTTTTGGGGGGGGTGGCTGGAAACGCAAACAAACCTCTGTATCCCACCTGCAGTGTGAGCAGTGGGCTCCATTGCAGGGCGGCCGTGAGCCTCTGCCTGTCCACAGCAACGTGGAGGCAACAGCATGGGCTACACTGAAGGGTTGTTGTTGCGTGCAGCTTCCCGTGCAATCTTATTAAGCGCATCTGGGTTCAGTGGGACTTGGTTGTAGTGTATTAAGAATGGACTACATGGCAGGGTTGTCGTAAACCATTCCTGCGGTCACGGCCATAACTCCCTTGCAAAAATATTTAAAGGCTTAAATTTTTTTTAAAATCGCGCAAAATAAGACCCATTGCCGCTGTCCAGTCGCAGCTACGTCATAAGGTTCCCCCCATTGATACTTATGGGCAGCTCTCACGGTCAGGATTGTGTTGCCAAAGGGAACTCGGAAACGCCGCATCCGGGCTATGCGATGCGGCTCTTTCCTTTTACTTGATCTCTTGCTTCCTGTCCACTCCCCGGCCTCTCTAGGCCGCGCGAACTCTGTGCTCTGAAAAGTTTTCCAAACCGTTGACGCGCTAAGAGTCAGCTGCGCGCGCGCGCATAGCGGCGCAGCCAGGTGATGTCATCACCGCGCGCCCTGCCGGCCTCCTCTCCTCATACCCGTCGAAGCCGTGCGTTAGTGGGCGAGAGAGCGCCGGTGGCAGGATGGGGCTGCCGGCTGTGGCTCCGGTGTTGAGGCGGAGGCTTCCCAGGTTAGACGAGGCCGGCGGCCCTGCGAGTGGGGCGAGGGCCGAGAGCGGCGTCGAGAAGCGCAGCCCCGCCTACCTTTCCTCAGAAGTAGCCTTGAACGCAGTGGGAGCTTACTCCCGAGTAGCGGGGCCTGCGCTGCGTAGCTTTCGCTGAACACTCTTATTATTACCGTCCTGGATGAGGCCACTTCAACCAGGCCATTGGATTATTAACAGTCCTGTTAAATGTGTTTGAGAGAAGGGTGTGTGTGTGTGTGTATTATTTCTTTTGTTCTTATACTTTGTTTTTACTACGCATTTTTGTGGTTTTATTCCATGAACCGCCCTGAGATCTTAGGATGAAGGGAAGTATACAGATTGAATAAATAATAATAATAATAATATAAAAGGTAAAGGACCCCTGGACGGTTAAGTCCAGTCCAAGGCGACTACGGGGTTGCGGCTCTCATCTCGCTTTCAGGCCGAGGGAGCCGGCGTTTGTCCACAGACAGCTTTCCAGATCATGTGGCCAGCATGACTAAACCGCCTCTGGCGCAACAGAACACTGTGACGGAAACCAGAGCGCACGGAAACACCGTTTACCTTCCCGCTGCAGCAGTACCTATTTATCTACTTGTACTGGTGTGCTTTCGAACTGCTAGGTTGGCAGGAGGTGGGACAGAGCAACAGGAGCTCACTCCATTGTGTGGATTCGAACTGCCAACCTTCTGATCGGCAAGCCCAAGAGGTTCAGTGGGTTTACAATTGCCCTTTCAGCCGTAAGGAGTGCCTCCCATAAGTGCCTCTGACCATGACTGCCCCAGAGGGAAATGGACAGTGTTAAGAGCAGGAACTGTTTTCTAGGTCATGAAAGAGAAGAAGGAAACTTATGGAAGATGGGAACAGGTGCTTTGGGCTGCCGAGATTCAGGAACAAAATCTCTTTAAATGAAGGCAGCTCTTTGTGGTTCATGCCCTTTGTTTTTCGACAGGTGTGTGTGTGTGGCGACAGGTACTTGCTCTCCCTGCAGGTTCCAGCAAGCGTCCCATTGCTGCATGTTAAGGTCATATTAAGGTGATCCAAGGTGAAGGGCGATGTCAACTCAGCTCATTGGCTGAATTTAAAGTTGGGGCTTTAAAGAGGGACCAAGTAGTTAAATGATCCCTATGAGAAGAAAAAAGTTTGGAGTGTAAGAAGGCTTATCCTGCTATGTGGAATGCTTCCTTCTTGGCTGAAAATCATTTCAAATTTAATTTTTGGACATGTTTGTGTTTATGTTAAGGTGTACCAAAAGCACAACATAGGAAAGGTAATGTAGGGAAGATGTATATTTTTTTCCAGAAAGCTGGTCCATCTGTCCTAAAGTTTGCACATGAATGATGCTTATTCGTTTGTTCATTCAGTATACCACCCTTCATCTAAAAATCACAGGGCAGTTCTCAACATCAAAATACAACATACATAATAAAACAAAAACAAACCAATAGCCCCTCTCCCACGAACACATTTTAAAAGCCATATAAGGTTAATCAGCCAACACCTGGTTGAAGAGAAAAGCTTCTGTCTGGCACTTAGAACACAATATAAAATGGATGTGGGGGGGGGGAACCCATGTTAATAAATATGGAGTACTCCCCGCACAAGCCCACAATTCTCAGACTTCCCTGGGTCGATTCATAAACTACTCTAGAAAGTTTTCCCCCCTGCTGTTTCTGCTTTAAATGTATAGTGTAGGTGTGGCTGACAAAAGCATGTGCTTGATTTGCTTGACATTTTTACATAGGCTGTGGCAGAAGATATGGCTGAACTTGGTTTTCTTGTTTCAGATTGAAGCCATTCAACAGGTTACAGGTCATTGTAGAACATTTGGTAAGTGTGGAGGTCTCCTTCAGGTTGGGGAGGCTAAAGTGAGTTTGGTAATGTTCAGTATGTAAACTGTTTTCAGCAAGCCCATGGAGGCTTTTGAATTGTGCTCCTCCAACAACCTCTCCAGAAGACAAAAACACAAGTTTCAAAGGCAATTTATGATACAACAAGCCCACAACTTATGTTCCGGGGATCTCACCTAAAGCCAAAGTTGCATTGGGTGTAATGGCTGGTGGGATTGCCAAAGTCTTTTCCTGAACGCCCACCAACTTTTTAATTTTTAAAAAATTATTTTGCCAAGCGCATAAAGCTGAATGCACACAAGTCAAATGTGCATAAGTTGTGGGCTTCCTGTATACTGTTCACGTGGGGGAAAGGCAGGAGACAAGCACTTGTGGGCATGCATAAGCTCATACATGACCCTAAAGTAGTTAGATAGGAACATAGGGAGCTGCCTTATACCAAGCCAAACTATTGGTCCACCAAGCTCCGCATTATCTGGCAGTAGCTCTCTGGGGTTTCAGACAGGGGGTCTATCCCAGCTAGTGGTGCCCGCGATTGAACCTTGGACCTTCTGCATGAAAACTAGACGCTTTTGGATTCCAGCTCCCATCAGTTCCAGCCAGAATGGCCATATAGAATGGGAGTAGTAGTAACATCTGGAGAGCCAGTTTTCCCTCCCCTGCTCTAAATAATTTGCATGCTGGAACCAACTTGCAAATTAGCAGCTTGGATCTACACACAGGAACACCACCCCCAAGTCAGAAATAAAATCGTTGTAACAAAAGAAAAAAAAAACCCGCTATGTAAAAATCACATTGATTGTTTTTTGCTCTCTGGTGCCATCTGGTGTTGCGTGTTTATAATACATTCACAATGTTGTTTTTTGACGAATGTGGCTGAGTCCCTTGATTTTTTTATTTATTTATTGTTCTTCTTTCAAATATGCAGAGCATGTCCAAGACGGCAGCTTCTTCCTCTGAGGTTCTCTTGGAAAAAAAGGGGTGTGCTGGTGTTATAACCATGAACAGACCCAAGGCTCTGAATGCATTAAATATATCCATGATTCGACAGATGTATCCACAACTGAAGGTTGGTGCTTTTCTTTTAAATCAGTGCTGTGGGCACAGTGTGTGGATTGACAGAGGAGGCCATTCAAGGGCAGCACTTCGAGCAGCGGCTATAGCCCATCACATTTTTTCTACACTTCAGCAGCTGAATGTGTGAACTGCCTCTGTTGAAAACCATTGGGTTTGAGGTGGTGCGAAAGTTCTGTATGCAACATATGATCTATGACGGCTCATTCACTAACAAAAGCCATGTCTTGACCTCGCATTCATTCAGTGATGAGCATGCATGTGCAAACCAAGCCAAGGGCTCTGGATGAACCAGCAATCAGATTAATTTTATGGCCATCCTTCTGATTTAATTGGGGGTGTACTGGAGAGTGGGGAAGGACCTGAAAATGAGAACAGCGGAAATGCTGTTACCGGTAGTGGATTTTATCTATGCTCACTGAATAAGTAACAGGCAGTACTGAGATACACGCACCATGTTCATCTTCACCATATTTACAGAATTATACTGGTGGTCTTAGTGGCAGCAACCATACCCTGTGGTGTCCCACAGCCAAACAGAAATCCCTATTTGAATGGCAGAGTACAGTGGTGCCCCGCAAGACGAATGCCTCGCAAGACGAAAAACTCGCTAGACGAAAGGTTTCACGTTTTTTGAGTCGTTCCGCAAGACAAATTTCCCTATGGGCTTGCTTCGCAAGATGAAACTTCTTGCGAGTTTGTTTCCTTTTTCTTAAAGCCACTAAGCTGTTAATAGCCGCTAAGCCGCTAATAGCCGTGCTTCGCAAGACGAAAAAACCGCAAGACGAAGAGACTCGCGGAACGGATTAGTTTCGTCTTGCGAGGCACCACTGTAGTAGGAAGGGGAGGGGGAAGCCTGGAAGCAGGGCCAAGAAAGGCAGTATTGAAAGCAAGTGAATATTGCTTCAAGGGAGGGAGAAGAATGAATGTAACTGCTTCCTCTGGAAAAAGGAAATGTCTCAAGGGGGATTCCTGTGCAAGGTGGGAAGTGGTGGGAATGGATATTTCCCCTTGTCATCTGCAGAGTCAACATTATAGGAAAGGGCTCAGGCTGGCTGGGGGTTTGCTTGGCTTTGCAGCTTTTCTTAAGTTAGGGAGGGGAGAAGGGCAAGGGGAGGTGAGATGTGGCTTCCCTGGACTTCCTCTGGAGGAAGGGCAGGCTATAAATCAAGTAAACAAATTTCACTGGGATCCTAAGAAGCCAGGGCCTTTTATCGCTCTCCTGGACTTCTGTTCTATTGCCTGGTTCAGCCATGGCTCAGTAGGGGGAAGTGCAGTGCATGTTGATTCAAGGTTTCGACAGGTTGCTGAGATTCATCCCGAAGGTGTGGCATTGCTGCCGTCTGTATCGAAAGGACGAAGAGGCAAAGCATATGCTAGAGAGTTTTGGGGTTCTCCCCACACCCCTTTTAGTGCTGACACTGCTCTGAACAAGGGAATGGGTCAAAGGTGGTTGTTCTGTGTTCAAGAAGAGAGAGGTGGTATGGAGTCTCATAGAGCATGTGGCTTTGGCCCAAGGAAATTAGGGTGAAACTATATGATGCCTTGTGTTTCCCCCAAAAATATGTATTTCTACCATACAGATATAACGAGAGTGGAAGCAGCTTCCAGTGTAGAAGCAGCCAATGAGACAGAAATGCTGAACTGTTCCCTGCTGTTTTTCCTTAGCCTGGTTTATTTCTGTTATCAGAGCCCACATTCAACATGTTTTATCTTTTGTAGAAATGGGAGAAGGACCCTGACACCTTTTTAATAATAATAAAGGGAGCTGGAGACAAAGCTTTCTGTGCAGGAGGCGATATCAAAGGTAAGGTTTTGAGTATTCAAAAAGTTGAGAGTTCAGAAGTTTCAGTTGTCATTTAGTACTTAAACTTTCAAAAGCTTTTTGATGATGTCCCTCAGCAAAGACAGCTGGGTAAGCTTAGCTGTCACGAGATAAGGGGAAGGTTCTGTTATGAACCAGGAACTGGTTCAGAAATGGGAAGAAGAGAATAGGAATAAATGGATTGTCCTCCCATTGGAGGGATGGAGTCTTCCGAGGATCAGTGCTGGACCTGTGCTTTTTAACAGGTTCCTAACTTATCCAGATTTGGGATGAGCATTAAGTTAGGCAAGTTTGCTGCTGATACCAAAATGTTCAAGGTGCTTAAAATAAATTGGGAGAAGCTCCAAAAGGATCTTTCTAAACTAGGTTAATGGGCAGTAAAATGCATTTAATTGTCAGCAAGTGTAAAGTAAGGCACATTGTGGCAATGAATTCTAATTTCACGTATATGCTTTCGGAGTCTGAACTGGCAGTGACTGACCAGGAACAACTGGTCTTGTAGTTGATAGGTCAGTGAAGTTGTCTCAGTTAACAGCGACTGGGAAAAGATGAATTCCATATTGGCGATCATTAGAAAAGGTACTGAAAATGAAACTGCCCATATAGTAATGCTGTTATACAGACTTGTGGGGCGACTGCACTTGGAATACTCTGTACAGTTCTGGTTGCCTTGCCTCAAAAGGGATATTGTAGCAGTGGCGTAGCGTGGGGGGTGCAGGGGGGGCCGGCCGCACCGGGCGCAACATCGGGGGGGGGGGCGCTCACAGCTCTCTGCCCCTACCTGGCTCACTCACTCTCTCTCACTGCAGTGCTGGCTGTGCGAATCCGATCCGAGCCGCTGGGTCGCCGCCCACTGTGGAGGGGGTGGGTGCCAGGCGTGCGGTGCGGAGAGAGAGCGAGGGACTATCTGGGGGAGGGACAGTGCAGCGGCCGCCCAGCGCAGCGCTGAGCGCGGGAGAGAGCGACACCAGACCAGCCCAGGCAGCAGCAAGAAGAAGCTGGCAGCGGCGGCAGGTTAGGGGTTAGGGGGCTCAAATTACTTGCCTTGCCCCGGGTGCTGACAACCCACGCTACGCCGCTGTATTGTAGCACTGGAATAGTTTCAGGAAAGGGCAACCAAGGTGATCAAGGGGTGGAGACTCCCTTGTAGGGAAAGGTTTTTTTGTAGGGAAAGGGCATTTGTGGGTTTTTAGTTAACGAAAAGGAGAGCAGAGGGAGACATGACAGAGGTGTATAAGATTATCTGTGGCATGGAGAAAGTGAACAGAGGGTTGTTTTTTTTTTTATTCCCCTATCCTAATTCTAGAATCTGGTGCCATCCGATGAAGCTGAATGTTGGGAGATTCAGGACAGACAAAAAGAAAGTGCTTCTTTATATCGCACCTAGTTAAATTACAGAATTTGGATGTCCACCAACTTGGATTGCATATATTGTGATCATGAAAGTTTGCTGCAGTCACATTTCTTGGTATTCCAGACAGTTAAGTGTTATGTAGCTAAATTTGACACTTGTTTTGTTTGCTAGCTATCGTTGAAGCAGGAAGAGCGGGAGAAGGGATGCCACAATATTTCTTCAGAGAAGAGTATGCCTTGAACAATGCTATCGGTGTGTATACCAGTAATTTAAAAGTACTTTAGTAATTTTAAAGGAAGAGGTTAATTTGAGTAGGCATAGAATCATAGAGTTGGAAGGGAGCCTGAGGATTCTCTTGTCCAACCCCCTGCCATGCAGGAATGAATATGCAGCTGCCCCATATGGAGATCAAACCTGCAACCTTGGCATCATCAACACCACACACTAACCAACTGAGCTAGACGTAACCCTTCTTAAACCCCTTCCCTACCGCGCATTTTCACACTAGTACCTATGTGGTTGGTAACACGTCACCATTCGTTTTAAAAATTGTTCTAAGAATAGTATTGCCAGTTTCCACAGTTTACACCAATTCTCTACAGTGTTTCTTTCATACACTGGAAGGAACCTTTTTCAGTCTGAGGGCTGCATTCCTTTATTTACAACCTTCCAAGGGCCATGTGCCAGGGGTAGGTGAGGCTAGAAGCAAAAGTAGGTGGAGCAACACACTTACATTTTCCTCTTGTGCAGTAGGGTAGTTTCTGCACATGCTCACACACTCCTCACTAGCCTTTATCCTGAGAAACAAGAGGTGGTGTTGTTTGAGAACAATAGCACTCTGGGAGTGAAGCACAGCGGGTGAGGGGGTGTGGCCTGGTGAGAGATGCAAGAAGCCTGGGCTCTCCTTGGCCCTGAGCTTCCCCACACCTGATTATGCTGCTATATTCTGTGTAATTCTTTGTATAGGTAGACCTGCCTGGCGTCTAGTTTCAGATACTCTTTGTGCCAGGCAAATAACTTTTTATTACCCAGGCTCAACACTAAGCTCTTCTTTAATCAGTTGATTCCCACCCCCACCCCACCCCCGCCACATCGCATCCCTGGTATCGCTAGGTTTTTTGTGTGTTTTTTGCTTTGGTTTTACTGTTCATTCCTTATTTTATCACTGTTGTGAGCTGCCCTGTGTGGAGTTTTTTTAACGGAATGGTGGCATAAGAACGTTTTAAATATCCAAATTTTATATTCAGAAAAAGAGGAGGCACCACAGCACTTTAAAGCATGGATGGGGAATCTCAGGCTAAATGCGGCCCTCCACATCTCTCTGTGTGGCCCTCTGAAGTCTCCCCAGGCCACCCCATTCACTGGTCCTGCTTCTCACCCTAAATGCCCGAGTGCAGTGTGTGTCCCAACTTTGATAATGCTTCTTGCTACTTGGATGGATGATAGAGAGGGGCCTGTGTAGAAATAAACATAGTATGCTAGGGTAAAATTAGCATTTGTTGCTCCATTCACTTGCCTAGCCATACCCACCAATGACTTGTTGCACCTGGAAAGGGTGCTTTGAAGGGAATGCAGTGCTCAGACTGAAAAAGGGTCCCTGTGCCTATTTTAAAGGTTAACAGGTTTATTACGGCATATGCTTTTGTCTGCTGATGTTTAAGGTGCTCTTGGCTCTTTGCTGCAATGGACTAACATGGCTAATCCCAGAATTCAGAGTGGAATAATTATAATTTGGTCAACAATTTGAATATTCAAGTTATATTATCAGGCTTCACAAGGTCTTTCCTTGCAGAAGTATTCTTTGTGCAGTTTTAAACACATATATGTCTTTTCATTTCACTTTTAATTTGTATACCACCTTCCTTTATTACCAGCATAGGTTTACAAGCTGAAGAAACAACAAAATAGACAGCAAAGATCACACACCTAATAACAATCTGATCCAATACCAAAAAAGCCATAATAAAAACATAACTTTAAAATAAACAACTTACATCAAATGAAGCAATATTCAATAATCCATTAGAATATAATGGTAAACAGTAAAATTAAATATCAGAAAATGGTAATGAAACAGTTTATACTTAACTGTTATAATAAATAATTACTAAACTATAATCAATAAAAATAACAGCAAGTCACAATGCATAAAATACCACAAAACATACAAAAACACATGAAAAGATCAAATTGAGAACTAGGACACACAGCATAATTTTTTTAAAAAATAAATAAATCCCTAGGCTCCTCTCTTCACAGCTGTTTCTGCTATTCTTAAAGTCATGGTCTGGGAAAGGCTCCTAGGAGGGTGGGCCAAGGCAGGTGGAAAGACTATTGCCTGATGGCCAACACAGAGTCTCTTCCCTCACAGTTCTTCACCTGGAAACAACTGTCTTATGAAGACTCCACCTGGGGCAAGGCAGGTGGAAAAAGCCATGGCCTGGTGGCCAGCACAAAGTCTCTCTCTCCTCACGAAATGTGTTGTTTCTGTCCTGACAGGCACCTGCCAGAAGCCATACGTGGCGCTTATTGATGGAATTACAATGGGAGGTGTAAGTAGAAATATTTTCTAAGGCAATTGGCTTGGGTTGTGCTTTCATTCTGTTTTAAAGTCGCCAGTGAAGTGACTACAAGGGGTTTCGAAGAGAGATGTGTGAGAATAACATTGACCAGGGATAGCTCAGTCTGTAGAGCACAAGACTTTTAATCTTAGGGTTGTGGGTTTAAGCCCCACATTGGGCAAAAGATGCCTGCATTGCAGGGAGTTGGACTGGAGACCCTTGGCATCCCTTCCAACTCTACAATTCTATGATTCTATATTTTTAGCATTTGTGAAATGTTCTTGAGCACCTTATTTTCTGAGGGCAGTTTTCAGTCTTAGAACGTTTACAACATCCCACTGCCTATGAGCTGAAAGAAAAGCACTTTTTCGCTGAGAACAGTGGCAGCACCAGAAAAAGGGGGCACAGAAGGGGCAAAGTATAATTCTTAGTGGTTGAGTTGTGTCACACACAGTAAAAACTCAAAGCAAAATAGCAGCAAATGTTAATGGCAGGAGTCCAGCAATTGGGGGTGGGGAGCAAGTTCCTTGTTTTTTTTTGGGGGGGTGCTTGTTCACCCCCTTTGGCGCTGTGCATGACTGAGAAGGCTCTCCATGCAGACTTGGGGATGGGTGTGTGGGCTTGAGGGTAAGGGAAGATGAAGATATTTGGCTAAGTCTGATGGGAGTTGGAGTTGGTTCACATGTAGCTTCTAGCCATCAAGTGTTAAGTAATGTGTGAACTCACCCTTGGTTTCAAGGATGTTTGTGTGCCCAAGAAATAGTAAGTTTTGTATACTGTTGAACAATGCAGAATAATTCAGCACATTTGTGGAAGTTATGCTTTGTATTTATTTCAGAATCCACCTCATAGTTTGTGTGACATTGATGTTTTTCCTTCTGTGTTGGTGTTCCTTGACTCATAATTGGATGGGACCTTGAAATGTAGTTGTTGACAGTAACTGCTGAATTAAAGCCAAAGCTGCTTATCAAACACAGACAGAGTGTGTTTGTTTATGCTTTAAAAATAATTCAGAATATTTATGATGTGATTCTCATTGTGAAGATATGTATAGTTAGCGTATCCATTACAAAATTCTGTACGTTAAATATTTTGGTTATCTGCGAATGCCAGACAACACCAAAAAGTTATAAAGTACTCATTGCAGATGCACAATCTACTGGGTTTGATCCAATTGTGAATTTTTTTAATCCATTATTGCTTTTGATTCTGTGGATATTTCTGCTATTGGAGGAAGTGGGGATATGGTTTTTGATGATTTGGTCTTTCTCCCTGTAGTTCCCATCTGCCCTCCTTATCTTCAGGGGGTTGTGGGGACAGAACAGTAGTGCAGACGGAAGGATGGAAATTGGCAAAATGTCGTCCTCTCCCGTTCAGTTAGTGAAGATGTCTGCCGGATCAAAGACACTGTTATGCAAATAAAAGGAGTCCTTCCATTTGCCAAAGTGCACCACTGAATACAGCCCAGTATATCTGAATTTAAAAACAAATATGTCACATTTTTAACTGCTAATGCTTAAGGGTCTCGCATATCTAAAGTGCATCATGGAATATTAGATGATTTAATCGTCCTTTTCCTCAGTTATTGAATCAGTCCTGCAGATGTTTCCTTGTTTAAACCATCTGTCTTTGGATGACATATGCCAGAATGGAAGTGAGGCAGAAAAAGGCAAACATCTGTCAAGATAAAATATTGTGAGGTACGAAAGGATGGAAAACAGACTGCTTCCACTTGTCAGGCATCAGGGTGCTTTTAAGAACATTGCATTAGCTTAGAGGCCATGGTTTCATCAGAATTCACGTACATGAAATTAATGGCAGTTTGAATATCTGGTGGCCTAATGTGGCCTAATGTGACCTCCTGCAAATATTTATGAAGTTGGTTTTTAGGGTGTTTTTTTAAAGCTGGTGTGCCATAAAGTCATTAGTGACTTGGTTTATGCTACCATTTTGTAAGCAAAGTCCAGGGTAGTGAGTGTAGCTTGGGTATATTTACCGTATTTTTTGCACCATAACACTCACTTTTTTCCTCCTAAAAAGTAAGGGGAAATTTCTGTGCGTGTTATGGAGGGAATGCCTACGGGTGGCATGCCTACGGATTTTCCTCCTCTAAAAACTACGTGCGTGTTATGGTCGAGTGCGTGTTATAGAGCGAAAAATACGGTATCCTTTTGTATAGTTTGTACAGTTTGGGGATTTCTGAGAATATTTTTTCTTCTTCAAATATTCCAGTGTCTGCTTTTCAACAGTGAGAATGTTCTGCTATCACTGCTGAATATAATAAGTAGTTAACTGCATCCTTCTGAGATCCAGAGCAAATGTGCGAAGTGTTTGATACTTTAAAAATCCTTTATAGAAGGTGTGTATTCCTAATTTTGCAGAGGGTTATATTAAATGTTACTCTATTATCCCCCCCTTCTAAATCGATCTAAAAAGCAACACAAATCTGTTAACAACAAGCTTAGTACTTTTCATGCTATGCAGTAAAAACTATATTAAAGAGGGTCATTTAAGGAACATTTCAGAGCATTGATTTTTGAGCAAAAGTAGAACAAGTTTGTGGTTTCTACATGTGGTTTCTTCTATTGGTGGAAAGAGTGGATTGTCCTACGAACCAGTAATTGGGCTTGGCTCTTCTTGAGAATAATAAAAGGAGCATATCATTCATTTGTAAAAAGTACGAAGTCGTTTCAGAGGCTGCTTGACATTGTTGTAAATAAAAATATGCCCTTTTCCCTTATGGGGTATCCAAGAGCCAATATAGAGTCCTTACATAGGTTCCCTATTGGTAGGAGAAAATAATGGAGGCCAACCAGAAAATATTGAGAAGCAAAGCAGCTAGTAAGCCTGATCTTTATTAAAGCTGTTGCAACAGGGTGCTCCCCTCACACGCAGGAAGGAGGAAGACCCAGAACAAAGGTGTGCCTGCCCTTATATAGACATTTTAAATTGCCCGCCCTGGAGTCCAAGACCACCCCCAGAAACATCATACATACATCACAGAAGGGGTGTAGCCCACCCCCCATATACATCATACCTACATCATAGAAAAGGCAGTCTACAATAGAAATCCGAGTGCATTGTTCATCTCCTGTCTGGCAGGTTACCTATTAATGGGAACTTGATTGGATTACCTGGGGAGCCTGGCCAGTCTTTTGTAATGATAAATACTTAGTTCCTGAGCCAGGTCACAGGCTCACCTTTTTCATACACAGACATACCCTTAAGACAGGATTCGTGAACGAAAAGACAATAGGGATGCTTTTCCATTTTCCTTCGAAGAAATATTCGAGAAATATTTGAGGTCAATTTGGGAGGGACAAAATGGTTTCAGGACTTTTTCTGTGGGGTTTCAGACATGTGGTTTATATATACAGCTATGATCTTTATTGATCTGTTGCAACAGGGTGCTCCCCTCAATCACTGGAAAGGAGGAGGACCCACAAAAATGCTGCCTGGCAGGTTACTTGATTGGATTGCCTGAGGAGCCTGGCCATTCTTTTGTAGTGATAAATAGTGATAGATACTTAGTTCCTGGGCCATGTCACAGGCTCACACCCTATTCAAACACATCAACATACCCTTAAGACAGGATTTGTGAAGGAAACGACAATGGGGAGGCTTTTCCACTTTGACCATGCAGAGAAACATTTGCTCAGTTTAGGAATCAAAAATGGCTTCAGGTCAGTCTTCCTGTGCTTGATCTATGCACGTGCAGTTATGAACATTACCATATATCTAGACCTCAAAATTCCTATCACATTATGTGCACCCATTTTGCTGCATTTCAAAAGGCCTTCATAAAAGATGTTTCTGGAGTTTGTGGAAGATACTTTTTTACAACCACATCTAAAAAATGGTTCATCGGGGGGTGGCATGGTGTGAAAGAGGGATGACCAGTTAAGCCTGCTAACGTAGGTGGTATTCAGCTAAACAGGTGCACTAGTGCAAGGATGTTCTATGCATAGGGTTAGGGGAACCCCTGGACTATATTTAGGGTAACACAGTGAGAGGAGAGGCTCGGAAAGTTCCACTACACAGCTAAACATCCTAGCAGTAGTGGAACTGTTTAACTAGATACCATCCTTTGGTCATATCTACACCATATATTTGAAGCTCGTTACTTCCCCCAGAGAATTCTGGGAAAGTAAGGGTGCTGGGAAGTCTAGCCCTGTAAGGCGTAAACTACAGTTCCCAGGATTCTTGGGTTGGGGTTGGGGGGGTAAGGTCACATGCTTTAAATGCATGATATGAATGTGACCATAGACCCAAATTGCCCTTCTCCTGTAGGCCTCATTACTTCTACCATGTGAATGCCTCTATTTTTCCTGGCTCCACAAAAATAGCAACCTCAACTTCTGAATTAAAATTGGAGGGTTTCTGGGAGGGATCCACCTAATGAATCCCAACCTGTGCACAAAGGCTTCCACTTGTACAGCAGGGCTTTCTCCTTGCACCCCCAAAATGGGTTTGGTTGGGGGGTGGGGAGATGAGGTTGGATCATTCCATCTGGCATTTGGGATGCTTGTGCTAGCCAAAAATGCAACCCTCTATTCTTACAGAATTGTAGAGTTGGAAGGGATCATGAGGGTCATCTAGTCCAACCCTCTAGGAATCTTTTGCCCAACACGGGGCTCAAACTTGCGACCCTCACATTCAGAGTCTCATGCTCTACTGACTTAGCTATGCCTTCATCTGTGCACTGGTTTGCCTCCAGAGTCTTTACTCTAGCATGTGAGTCAGAATCACCCACTTTTGTGTGCTTCTGTGCATGCCTCTGGCTGCAGAGAGGCCAATATCAGAACAAACTCATTGGGAGATGTAATGTGATTATTCTGTCTGTTTCTGTTGGATTTGAATACTCCAGTTTATCCCAGTGTGGAGACTCAGCTGAACTGCCTGTATCTGAGGAGGCTGATTGAAAAGAATGAAGATCAGAGAACCATGTGAAGATGCAGCAGAGAGCTGCCTCCATGCGTGGGTTCTTTGAGTTCATGGGAGCCTTTAATTCAGGCATAGGCAAGCTTGGCCCTCCAGATGTTTTGGGACTACAACTCCCATCATCCCTGACCACTTGTCCTGTAAGCTAGGGATGATGGGAGTTGTAGTTCCAAAACATCTGGAGGGCTGAGTTTGCCTATGCCTGCTTTAATTATTGACACGTGAACAGTTCTCCCTTACCGCAATTAGCATACCCTGGTTTGCAGTTTGGGGGAGACAGCTTTACAGGTTATGCATCTAAATCGGCTGGGGAACCTTTTGGGCTTTCACATCTTCTTAGACTCCAACTCTCATCAATCCTAGTCAACATGATTAGTGTTCTGGGATGATGGTAGTTGTAATCAGACAACATCTGCAGGGCAAAAGGTTTCCCACCCCTAACCTAAGTAGGGGAGAGTGAGAGCAGCTGTGTACCATTGAATCATAAGCAAAGTGAACCAAAAAGCTAGATTTTGTAGGTTTATTTTTGCAGCTTTGTAGGTCGTTGACGGCCAATATGATTGAACTTGGATTGGATATTGATGTCCTGGCTTTAGCCATGTATCCCTTTAGCCATGTATCTCCGTCTCTGTCCAACAGTGGTCTTGGGCAGAATGCTGTTCCCTCAGTCCTGTTTCCTCCACCTTCAAATTGTGGTGGGGAAAGAAGGACGTTGAAAGTAGGAATGAAAGGATGTTTGTGATTGTTCTGCAGAGAGGATTTTGCACACTTAAATGTTACAGTGAATATAGGTATTAATGCATTCAGAGCTGAGTAATGTACAATTAGCAAAGTTCTCCTTTGTTGTGCTAAGTGAATTCATTTCACACTTTTCTAGTTCTATGAATGTAACTGTGCAGTTGTTGTGATCATGACATACAGGTACCGGTAAATGCAGTTTAGCATCTTTTGATGAGCACTTAGCTAAATGTTCCTGCTGGTATTATCTGTCAGCAGGTAGGAGATGCAGGGCTAATGATTCAGTTGTTGCTGCACATTTCAGTAAACAGCTACTAACACAAATTATACCATTTCAACTGGGTCTTTCTAGACTTGGTAAAACACTCAGCCTGTGTGCAGTTGATCTTTTACTGATGCATTTGGCAATGGTAAGAAATTAAGGTCAGTATGGAGCAGACATTTTAACTTGTTGGAATTTTCTGCAGATCCTCAGTTATATGCACGTTGTGGAACTCGGGATATCCTTAGTAGCATTTGACACTCTGGTTCCACAGCATGAGCCAGAACCCAGTATGCTACTAGGAAGATGTGTATAGGAGGACCTTGCTTAGTTTGCTTTTTACAGGGAGCTGACTTGATCTGATGCTCCCAAGAATTTGTGCAGAACAGAACGCAACTCCTTGATGGATCACACATTTCTCAGGATTCTGCGACGTTGTTTTGATGTGCAAAAAACAAATACAAGAAAGTGCATTGAAAAGCATTGAGAAGTGCATATTTTATGTAAAAAGTGCAAATAAAATATGTACAGTTTAAGGGGGGGACTTTATTATGCTTAAAAAGAAAAAAGCACCAAACTGGCTGGAGCAGACATACAGCTGAGGGCGAATGAAGCCAAAACTGAATTAGGCAGCTCAGTTTCAGCCCTACTCCAAAGTAAGATCATAGGATCATAGAATTCTTCCTATGCCAAGTCCAGTCATGGGTCAGTACTGTCTGCTCAGCCTTCTCAACCTGATGCCCTTCAGACATTTATGGGAGGATAGCTCAGTTGGTTAAAGTGTGGTTCAGATGACGCCAAGGTTGCAGGTGCAATTCCTGTATGGGACAGCTGCATATTCCTGCATTGCAAGGGGGCGGACTAGATGATCCTCAGGGTTCCTTCCAACTCTATGATTTTGCACTATAGCTGCCATCATTCCATGCTGGCTAGGGATGACGGGACTTGTAGTTCAAAACAGTTGGAGGGAGCCAGGTTGAAGAAGGCTTCCATTGAATGGCCGTGGGAACTGCAGTTCACTTTTGCACATAAAGCTTGAATATTGTAGAGAGCTCATACCATCATTGGTGGTACTTAAAATGCGTAGAAAAGGGTGAATGCATAATTCATTGGTTTATCAGTCCTCCAGCAGGTATTATGTATGGTGCTGGTTTTCTCTTTAGTAAGTTCTAAACTAAGCATCCAATAGATGGGGGTGTAGAGCGTCTCTTTTACGCCCTTCAAAAGCACAGTTCTTTCAGTAGCATGCAGTTTCTCATTTGAATGCCATTTTGCTTGTGTAATGGCTTCAGAACAAGTTGTTCAGTTCATAAGGAGAAGGGGGAAATGAGTTCACACAATACACTTGAACTTTAAAAGGACTGGCACAGATTATGGCGACCTGTCTTCAGTACCACTAGGCGTAATGGTGTTTTGGCACTGCTAACAAGGCAATTTGAGGGTTGAAAGTCCCTAATGCAGACATGTCTGGAGCACAAGTTCATTTTCTACAGGCTGAACTGATTTGTTTAAGCTTTTCTCTTTGGAAAACCATTCTGTCTCTAATCCAATCCTGCAGTGGCTTGTTTAACAGAAAACAGGGGGGCATTGCAGCCTGAGTCCCCCCCCCCCTGCTCCTTTTAGCCATGAGAAAACTGTCTAGAACTCGGTACTGAAAAAAAGTGTCACATAATTCTAGAGCTGCAGACTTCGTTCTTGATTTTGATGGCTTGAAAGACAGACTCCAAATTAAAGCTGTATTTTAAAGCAGGTTTGGAGAATGCTTCCTTTGGCAGGCTGTAGGGCAGGCTGCTGCAGCTTAAGTAACGAAGATTAGTTTATAAGAATATTTACATTTGCATTTCACTAGAAAAGTGGCACAGACCCTTTAAAAACACTGAACGTTTACCGATTGCAGAGGTCCAGTTTTATGCTGCTTTGAAGTCCTACATTAAGTTCACGCAAGTTGCAATTGCCCCAGTCGCTCAGAAGTTGGCAAGAAAGCAAATTTGAAGCCGAGGTTGTCTACGCCCCTTTTGGAAGGGGAAAGCCTTTCACTGTTTAACAGATCAAAGTTCTGTTTGTCATCCCAGCTAGGTGTGATGTAAAGTGGAAAAGTTTTGAAGCTGAACTGAAGGGATCAGGAACTACTCTATCTGTGGAACAATGTGAGTTATCTCCACAGGTTTATGGCTTAGTATAAACATAGCATACATTCTATCGTCAGGCCAACAGCGAGTGAGTCAAAAACAGAAAGACCTTTCCACATGACTGTGCAAAGCACTCTAATGTGGGAGTCAATAGTTTTGCTAGGAAACATGGAGGCAGTTCTTTGAAATTAAAAGTAAGAAGTGAAACCATCAAAGAATGATAGGCAAAAGGGTAGCCTTTCTACTGTGCCATTTATTTTTCTTAATCGGAGGTGTGTTCCAGTGCTGGAGACATAAAATTTGCATGAAACAGTTGAAAGATGGTTGGGATGAGTGTTTGTGTGTGTTTTCTGCTACTTCTCATTTTTCTTGCCATGTGTCAAATCCATTCCGTGCCTGTAATACTTAGTGCAGCTACAATCTGCACAGCAGCTGTAGTAGAAACAAGTTTCATTGCCTGCAGGGGAAATGGAAGTTTCCCCAGTATAGAATGTTCCTGGGAAAATGTGACATCCCTCACTCAGAAGGGCAGACAGCTGCATTTTGTCCAACCGATGGGTAGCATCATGTGTCCTTAGGAGAAGGTGGAGCCAGAGGGCTTTGCAGATATTGGAGGTGGGTTGCTCCTCTGGAGTTGGAGATACAAAGTCTAGGTGTCTCTTCCCAATCCAGGAAGAGTTGAAAACTCAGCCTCTAAAACCTGGGAGCTTTATGACAGCATGTTACTGTTTGCTGGGAGGAGGGAGTATCTCTGCTAGTCTCTGTCCCATTGATAATGTCATAGTTAATGCTGTAGCGAAATCTAAGTTACGTCTACTTTTGCTTCGAATGTGTAATGTTGCCCCAAAATGAATAGATTACAGCCAGTGCTGGGTGTTTCCTTGGAAACTCAATGTAATTTGTGCATCTAAATCATAGGGAAAGACAAAAATGCATTTTTGTCTTACAGGAAGCACCTTACTGCTCTCTGACTGCAGAAGGCAAATCTGTTGGCCTACAAAGCTTGGTGTAAAACCTGCTGTGTATTATTAGTTGTAGATAATAGAACACGGGAAGATTTCAGAGGAGCAAACAACAAAACCAAACCCCGACTGTGGTTCTTTGACTTCTGGCAAATGTACTGCTGGGAGACCTTGGATGTTGCAAAATCTTTTTAAAAAATATTTCAACGTCTTTGTCAAGTATATAATGAAACATCACTCCTAAAAGATTTATTTCTGGAAAGTATTTAGTTACCAAATGGTGGAGTATTTTTAAAGGGGGGGGGAATTATTGGGAAAATGCAGTTATAGGGACTGTCTGAATGTGTTATACATGTAAGATGCACCAGTTTGATGCCCAGCATCATCTGCCAGTAAGGGAACATGGATGACTTACGATGAGATAGAATGGTTGGCATTTCTCCCCCTGCTCCAATAAGAAAGGCACAATTACGTAAATGGCCAATGTATTTACGGTAAAGGGACCCCTGATCATTAGGTCCTGTCGTGACCGACTCTGGGGTTGCGGCGCTCATCTCGCTTTATTGGCCGAGGGAGCCGGCGTACAGCTTCCGGGTCAAATGGCCAGCATGACTAAGTCGCTTCTGGCGAACCAGAGCAGCGCATGGAAACGCCGTTTACCTTCCCACCGGAGTGGTACCTATTTATCTACTTGCACTTTGACGTGCTTTCGAACTGCTAGGTTGGCAGGAGCAGGGACCGAGCAACGGGAGCTCACCCCGTCACGGGGATTCGAACTGCCTGCATTAAAAAACATGCTGCCTCAGACTGTTGATGTGTCTTGGAGGATTTTACTATTTACTTCAAGACTCCAGTACTGATGTTTAGGATTTATTTGATGAACTGTTCCTTTCTGGTATACTCTCCCCTTGCATATTGCTCTATAGATGACTTCCTACTTGGAAAAATGCTACTGAGCTGCTGCTGGGTTTCTACAATATCTGTTCTTGAGTTTCTGGTATTGATTGTGGTTTCTTACTTCACAGAGGCAACGAGCAGAATTTTAATCACCTGCAGTTTTGTTTTGTTTTTTGGCAGGGGTATTTTCATTCGCTTACTAGAATTTCTGTAGTTTGCTTAGGTTCAGTGAGACTTCCTCAGCAAAGCTGAAGGTACGAGGAGGCCCATGTAGGAGTACTTTAAGGGGTGTGGGTTATAGGTATAAGAAGTAATCTTTCATCACCCCCTTTGTCTAGATCCTTCCTGTTGCTATTTTCCAATATTGAGCTTTGCCATGCATTTCAGAACAAATTCTCTGCGCCTGATTTAGGGCAGTGGCAAATGATTTTTTTCCACCTTCTGTTCCAAATAAGATGATGTATGAATGCCCAGTTTATCAAGACAGATACTAGCCAGGATGCCAGTTCTCAAGTCTCGTTTTGTGTAGGAATAACCTCATTCTGGGATCATATGAAGTCCTTTATGAATGATAAAATATTTAGCATGGGTTGGCGAAGTTTGCAGAGTAATAACCTGTCATTCTGCTGATTTCTGCTGCTGTAAACAATAACTGTTTCACAAGTTATTGATAATATATTGCTAGGAAAACACATTCCTGGACACTGAGGTCTCATTTGCTCCCATTCTATCATTTCTAAGGGTTTATAATGTGATTTTGAAACAATTCTGAATAAAACAGTGTTCAGATGTATGGTCCATAAATTTCTGTTTCTGAGAAACGGTTGGCAGACAGGTTATCAAAATGTGAAACTTACTGAACCTTTATGTTTACCAATAATTCTTAAGCTTTTGGGAGGCTTCAGAAAAATGTCAGAATTTCTTGGTAAGTCTAGTCATGTACCTTGAATAAAGAAGCACATTCCTCCATAATTTCCCTCATTTACTGGTCATCAGCGCTCAGTCTCTTGCTAGCTCAGTTTTTCCTTTGCTTGGTGTTTTTTAAATTGGTGAATGTCAAAAATGAAGCTTGTTTTTGACATTTACCCACCAAGTCATTATAAATGACGGAATTAAGGGTAAGCTTTGAGGTTTTATAAAAAAGTGTCGGGATTTCCTGCTGGTCTCAAAATCTTAATTATATGTCAACATTTATTATTCATTGACACTGACATGATACACGCATACTAAAAATCAATAATTGCATGGCTTTAGGGGTGGGTACTGGTTGGAAATGTAAATCGTATGGATTTGATCTAGAATTATTCATGCTGAAAGTGGACTCACTACAATCAGTGGGACTTGTTCCATTGATTTCAGTGGATCTACTCTCAGCATGATTCAGTCTGGATCTAACTGTATGTAAACAGCTTTTAAGATGCTTCCCCTGAGCTACTGCTGTTTACTTTGTCATCTTTAAAGATGGAGAAGATCTACAATGCAGTAGGTAGCTTTCTGTTCATGCACAGGGACTTTACATTGCCTTGCTTCCAGTGGCATCTCCTCCCTTTCAAGTTTGGATAAGTAGCACCCTGGGGCGGTTTCTGGAAGAAATATTGGTCCTCTACCCATGTATTATTGTAGCACAGAAGCACTTCCTTGATGAGGATACCAACCAGAGAGGTGGGGGTGGGGGGTTGATTCATTGATGAAATGAGAGACCTCGAAGTCTTCAACAGTAGTTTTGCCAGGCTTTTGTCTTTTCCAGTACAAAAGAGGAACAAAAGATTGCAGTCATGAGATTTTACATAACACTTTAAATGGAGGTATAATTTAACAATTTGTATTCATAATCCCAAATAATTTTGCTTACAGAATAGAGGTGAGAGAGCGTTGACTTATCAAATTAGTTCAGAAACAAAGTGCTAATCTTGACGGTCTTATTAACTTGCTATTTTTTTAATGTGCTTGCCCAGATATCCAAATAAATCACTGGAATAATTTCCTCCATAGCCATTAAAAAATATTGTGCCGCTGAGTGATGTCTGAGATCTAAAGTGTTGTATGCCCAAGGCGGAGGGACTATGTACCTTTGGTACTTAAGCAGTACAGTGGTACCTCGGGTTAAGCACTTAATTCGTTCCAGAGGTCTGTACTTAACCAGAAACTGTTCTTAACCTGAAGCACCACTTTAGCTAATGGGGCCTCCTGCTGCCGCCGCACCACTGGAGCCTGATTTCTGTTCTCATCCTGAAGCAAAGTTCTTAACCTGAAGCACTATTTCTGGGTTAGCAGAGTCTGTAACCTGAAGCGTATGTAACCCAAGGTACCACTGTATTCCCTCTGAATGCCAGAAGCCAAGTTGCTTCTGAAATTGAACAGATGCTTGCAAACAGTTTATGATACAGTGTGTGTCTCAAATAGTACTGAGAAATTATTGAATAGCTAGGGTGTGTGTGGGTCCAGTTCAAAGAACAAAAAAGTTTTAAGGAACCACTGATCTTGCCCAAACTCCTAGGTGCTCCTACAGTAGCTCTGTGCATCCCAGCTAGTGTTGCTTCTCAGGAAACTTTTAAATATACAAGCGCCCCAGACTTAGTTGATCAGAAGTTGGATCCCAACAACCGTGTTTACCAAAATACATGTTTGTAAATCACGTCCAGTTTTCTTACCAGTCTTTTTTTGCAGTGAAAAGGTTCATAAAGAGCATCTACGGTATGTTTGGGATACACTTCAGGAAATGTGTGCTGCACGATTTCATTAATTACCTAGAGTTTTTTTGTTTTTTTTGGAGGGGGGTGTCAAACGTAGAATCGGCCATTGAAGCCTACTTCAACTAAGTATTATTTCTGCTTTTTATTATGCAAGCAAAGGTGTGTCTATAACTCTCAGTGTCCTCTCCAAATTATACAGATTGCACATATTCAGTCAACCCATGTATAAAATGTTGACATTCCCCACCCCCCAATGTAGTGTTCTTATTTCATAGAATTGTAGAGCTGGAAGGGACCACGAGGGTCATCATCCTGTGTGCAGGGATCTTTTGCCCAAAATGGGACTTGAGCCCATGTTATAAGAATTTTAAGGTCACACACACACACACACACACACACACACACACACACAATGTTCATAACTGTATATATAAACCACATGTCTGAAACCCCACAGAAAAAGTCCTGAAACCATTTTGTCCCTCCCAAATTGACCTCAAATATTTCTCTGCAAGGTCGAAGGAAAATGTCTTTTCGTTCACGAATCCTGTCTTAAGGGTATGTCTGTGTATGAATAAGGTGAGCCTGTGACCTGGCTCAGGAACTAAGTATTTATCATTACAAAAGACTGGCCAGGCTCCCCAGGTAATCCAATCAAGTGCCCATTAATAGGTAACCTGCCAGACAGGAGATGAACAATGCACTCGGATTTCTGTTGTAGACTGCCTTTTCTATGATGTAGGTATGATGTATATGGGGGGTGGGCTACACCCCTTCTGTGATGTATGTATGATGTTTCTGGGGGTGGTCTTGGACTCCAGGGCGGGCAATTTAAAATGTCTACATAAGGGCAGGCACACCTTTGTTCTGGGTCTTCCTCCTTCCTGCGTGTGAGGGAAGCACCCTGTTGCAACAGCTTTAATAAAGATCAGGCTTACTAGCTGCTTTGCTTCTCAATATTCTCTGGTTGGCCTCCGTTATTTTCTCCTACCAATAGGGAACCCACGTAAAGACTCTATACTGGCTCTTGGATACCCCATAAGGGGAAAAGGGCAGATTTTGTTTACATCACCCATAACACTGAGATTAAGAGTCTCGTGCTTTACCTACTGGCCTATTGAGGCATTCTTGCTGCAGTGCAGTTAATTTATCCATAAGAATTGGGGGCCATGCCTGGGAGAATTGCATATTCTTACGGAGCTTTTGCTAATTACTGGTGTATCATTTTGAACACCTAGTTCCATGCTAAATATAACCTTTAACTGCATCAGACTGTTTAGTGCCAGAATAATGGAATGTGACTGTGTAATTTTAGAAGCACATAGTGTGTGGGAGCTATCATCAGTTAATGGAATAAGAATGCAGGTTTAAAAGATAAGTAGGCTGACATGTAGGTGCTTGAATACTGAATTGCTTTGGACAAATGGATGATGGCACAGGCTAACAAGAGGGGCAAGTTTTATCTAACGGAAATAACAAATTTAATTATTAGCAGAATCGCATCCTGCATTTCGTAAAATCCTTGTGGGCAAATGTCACACTGTGCTGATTTTAAGCCGTTTTCCATTTATCGCATAGGTTGCTAAAGCAGACTTTATCAAAAAGGAGCTGAATGACTTGTCACGAGGGCAATATTTAGAGCAGCTCAAACTCACAGATGCGACAGGCGCTCAGTTCTTCCTACACCTGCCTAGAAGTTGCTGCCATCCAAAAACTAGATTCAAGTAGCTGCTTGTTGATCTCTCTTCTTCCTTCCCTGTTCTGACAGATGTTCTGTGCATACAGATATATAAACTTCCAGCTCTGTGTTCCTGAGTCTTTGTTTAGAGAACCCTAAAATACCCCGGATGTGCTGGAGATTCTAATCTCCATGATAGAATTTGTACAGGATTGACCTGCATACGATTTTGCGCTCACGACTGAAAATGTTGAAAACAGCCTTGAATCAAGACTGAAAAGGATTGTATCTTTGCTGATGCTGCAGTATATTTCCCATCTGGCATATTGGCTCGACCGTTAAGTCCCTGAATATTATCCTGCAGACAAATGGTGCAGTTAGTTTCCTAGCTAATCTCTGGCTATTCGTAGTAATTCCTGGTAATGGATAAAAATGGTGTTAGCCCGTTGATTCACGGAATGCTTGTATTTGTGTAGTCAATCAAACGTACATTGTTCCTCAAGCGAAGAATTCTGTAGATGTGGAAGTAGACTTCTGTGGAAGGTTTAAGGCACTGCCAAAAATTGGAATCGCTTGAACAGGGTTTTATATTACTGTAATGTGTCGAATACTTTAATTCTGTTCTTCTTGGGAGTTGGAATAGTTTTTTTAAAAATGATATGGAGTGAAATAAAATACATATTGAAAACAAAGTTTTATAAGGTAAATTGCCACTCATAATTTGATAGAACCCACTCATAATTCAACAGAAGATGCCTACTTTAATCTTATATGTAGGCAACGTCAGATCAACGTAAGAACTTTAGAGCATAAAGTAGGCCTGGTATTCTTTGAGATCCTAAGCATGCAAATTTTTGTGCACTTGTGTTTCGGCAAGGTACTGTGGAGACGTGTGTGCATCTCTTGTTCTTGAATAATTTTGAGAGCTCACCTGCTGCAGCACTTAGACCATGAGTAGACAAACTAGGGGCCGGATCAGGCCCAATCACCTTCTAAATCCAGCCTGAGGATGGTCCAGGAATCAGCGTGTTTTTACATGAGTAGAATGTGTCCTTTATTTAAAATGCATCTCTGGATTATTTGTGGGGCCTGCCTGGTGTTTTTACATGAGTAGAATGTGTCCTTTATTTAAAATGCACCTCTGGATTATTTATGGGGCCTGTCTGGTGTTTTTACATGAGTAGAATGTGTGCTTTTATTTAAAATGCATCTCTGGGTTATTTGTGGGGCATAGAAATTCGTTCATTTTTTATTTTTTCTCCAAAATAGAGTCCGGCCCCCCACAATGTCTGAGGGACAGTGGACCGGCCCCCTGCTGAAAAAGTTTGCTGACCCCTGGCTTAGACTGACTGGCTAGGCAGGACAGGGGAGATCAGGGTTCACATTCCCCACTCCAGCCATGAAGCTGGGCAAGAATTACTTTGGGCCACTCACTCCAGCCCAACCTACCTCACAGGGTTGCTGTTCTGGCTGCCTGAGCACGTGGGACAGCCAAGCTAAAAACAAATCATGTTCTGTGGCCCACGTAGATCCATTTGCCAATCCTTGAAGTCTGGGCAGCTCAGCTGCATAGAGCGTGATGCTGATAATGCCAAGGTCGCAGGTTTGATCCCCGTTTGGAACAACTGCATATTCCTTCATTGCAGGGGGTTGGACTAGATGATCCTCAGGGTCCCTTCCAACTCTACAATTCTATGAATCTATGTAATTGCGGTTTCTGCCACTCGCTGTTACCGCTCCTCCCCTTTTGAACCTATGATGCTGCATTATGCCGTGTTAGATAATCTAGCCCAATACAGTTTACGGGTACCCGAGATAATTTTTCAAACATTTCTTAATCACAAGTATTTCTGATAAGAGGCTCCCTCGCATCCAGGGGGCTAGTGAGAAGTCCTCATATATTTTGTTTCATCAATACTGCGCAGCGTCAGGTGATCCCAGGCCATTCACTAGGGGAATTGAACTTTTGACACTCAGCTTATAAGGCATGTGTTGCTCCCTGTTATGCATCAGATTGGAAAAGCAGTTGTGTAGCAAGTCATTGACTTTTTGGGGGATTAGAGCATGGAGCAATACCCACAGCTCCCTCCCTGTTCCGTTACACTGCATTAGTCTAAACCCATAAACCCGTCGCTTCTTGGCACATTCCCATTTTTGCCTGATTCATTGTGTCCTGCATGTTACCCCTGACATTTACAAAAGTCCTAGCAAATGACAGCTCCCAGCGCAGCCTGAATGGAACGATTTGAGATTTTTCTCAGTTTGTGTTGCAGTCTGCTTCCCACCAGATGTCAATATGAGAGATATTTGTTGGCATCTTTCACAAGTAGGAATCCAGCACAAAGTACAAACGTCTTTTTGCCCGAATGCTGAGTCTGGCAGGTGCTTGAACTGACTTGCAGACAAAACAATACATCAGTCATTGAACCTATATTGTAATTCTAGGGGGTGTGCCCCTGCTCTCATTGCTCCACCACCACTAACCCAGGAGTGGGGAACTGTTAGCTCCTACCCCACAGGCCACCACAGACTGGTGGGCAAGGCAAGTCACTTATCCATCACATGTAATCTTTATGATATCACATAATTGATAGGTGTGCTTTTCCACCAACCTATCAAAATCCCTTGTGGGGTTCTGAAGCTTCTGTTGAGGGATGCCAGAAAGAAGGCTGTATTTTGAAATGTGGGCTTCTTTCTTGCTTTTTGTGATGACAATGGCAGCAGCAGCCTTGTTCCCTGTGCAACATTGGAGGTTGAAATGGGGTGTGCAGGCCTCCTGCTGCATATAAAGGGCTTTTGCAATCATCCATGCTTTTCAGATGCAAAGATTATTAAATGGAATTCTCCCTCCTTGAGTAGGCGTGTTCCTAAGACCTGCCCCTTTCCACCTCATGCTGCTGCTACAGCCAAATGGGATGAAGAACTGGCCCAGCGGTGGGAAGAGAGGAGCATGGGGAGGAGGCCAGGTAGCCTCAGAAGGTTGCCTCTTCATTGTGTTCGGTGGCTTCAGTTGCAGATTACTAGGCAGCCCAGCGACTGCTTCCAGTCCCCTTCACTCCTAATATGCAGCAGTAGCAGAAGCAGCAGATCCCAAGCTCATTGGAGAGGAGGAAGGTGGCCAGTAACGATGCTGGCCAGCCTTGGGCTCTGGATCCTGGAGGCAGGCGCCCTGTTTTTGGCAGATGTTAGCATATATCATATTGAAACTCTTGATTCAGGTCCTCCTGAAATGGTATTGCCAGAATACTCTGGCGACAGAGTTTGCATCTGGGTCTGATGGAGGAGCTGGTCCCTGTGTTGATATTATGTGATATGGTGATGCTGGCAAGTAAAAAAATCACAATCGAACCTTGTTCAGACCTTTGTTGTCAAGACAGAGGTACTTCTTCATGTGTCTTTACATTAAGTCGGACTCCAGTTATGAATGCTTAATTGCTCTTAACCTCACAGCAGACACTTTTTTTCCTTTAAATTCGCCATATATTTAGCTTTCATCAAATAGTTGGTTTGATCATGCATTTGTGGTTCATTTCTTGTTCCTGGCTATATATAGATAGAAATATGTACGTACAGTGGTACCTCGGGTTAAGCACTTAATTCGTTCCGGAGGTCTGTACTTAATCTGAAACTTTCTTAACCTGAAGCACCACTTTAGCTAATGGGGCCTCCTGCTGCTTCGGCGCCGCCGGAGCACGATTTCTGTTCTAACCTGAAGCAAAGTTCTTAACCTGAAGCACTATTTCTGGGTTAGCGGAGTATGTAACCTGAAGTGTGTATAACCTGAAGCGTATGTAACCTGAGGTACCACTGTATTTAAGACTGCTTATCCTTACCAGAATTGCCTTCTATTTAGCCACAGTAAACCTCACCATCCTTCTGCTGTTCACATGATGCGCATCTGGAGACTTGATTGCCTGCTAAAGGGGTTCATTTATGTAGCAGCCTTGAAATAAGGGAACCCTTATCTTCAAATAATCTGGTTTTCCCACAGAGATGCACTGCAAGAGAACAGCGTAAGTGAATTAATTAGCCTTTTATTGTATTTTGAAGGTCATAATCACCATGGGCTCTGGAAGCCCAGGGGAGGTGGTGTGTGCTGGTGCCAGGGGAAGCGAATGTCTCTGCAGATGCTTCGCTCTTGAGGCTGTTCCTCTAGAGCCACTTTAACTTGCTGACAGACGTCAGGAAATAGATAGAAAAGGCTGGTGCAGCCTATGTGTTGGCTTCCCTAGATAAAAACTTCAAGCAGCGTTGATTGGTTTAATTATTACTGTTTTATGTAGATTGATTTGAAACCCAGTGTTTCCAAAGCACAACTCTCCTTTTTAAATGATGCTCTCATGGGTAGTAGTAACAGGCTCTGTCCCAGCTTCTGCCAACCTAGCAGTTCAAAAGCATAGCAGCGCAAGTAGATAAATAAGTATTGCTGCGGCAGGAAGGTAAACGGCATTTCCATGTGCTCTGGTTTCTGTCATGGTGTTCCGTTGTGCCAGAAGTGGTTTAGTCCTGCTGGCCACATGACCCGGAAAGCTGTCTGTGGACAAACGCCGGCTCCCTCTGCCTGAAAAGTGAGATGAACGCCGCACCCCATAGTTGCCTTTGACTGGACTTAACCATCCAGGGGACCTTTACCTTACCTTTTAGTAACAGGCACCATGTTAGCAGAAGCATTTCTCCTGCATGTGTGAAAGAAGTGAGATCTTAAAATGTTGCATACCGTTGGCTGTTCTTTTATAAGCACTTGTAGTTAAAAAGCATACAGTGGTGCCCCGCAAGACGAATGCCTCGCAAGACGTAAAACCCGCTAGACAAAAGGGTTTTCCGTTTTTCAATGCGCTTCGCAGGACGAATTTCCCTATGGGCTTGCTTCGCAAGACGAAAACGTCTTGCGAGTCTTGAGATATTTTTTTCGCTTCCCCCCCCTTTTTCTAAGCCGCTAAGCCGCTAATAGCCGCTAAACCGGTAATAGCGCTAATCCGCTAAGCCGCTAATAGGGTTGCTTCGCAAGACGAAAAAACCGCTAGACGAAGAGACTCGCGGAATGGATTAATTTCGTCTTGCGAGGCACCACTGTATATTTGTTATCTGCTACCTGAGGAAGATGCTGCTGCTGATTATATTTTATTATTTGTGACTGAGATGCCCCAGCCACACTGGGTGGCTTCCAGCATGTACAGAAACATAATAAAACATCAAACATTAAAAACTTCACTATGCAGGGCTGTCTTCAGATGCCTTCTAAAGATTGTACAGTCGTACCTTGGTTTTCAAACAGCTTAGTTCTCGAATGTTTTGGCTCCCGAACGGCGCAAACCCGGAAGTGACTGTTCTGGTTTGCAAACTATTTTTGGAAGCCAAACGTCCGACGGGGCTTCCACGGCTTCGGATTGGCTGCAGGAGCTTCCTGCAGCCAATCAGAAGCTGCACTTTGGCTTCCGAACGTTTTAGAAGTCAAAGGGACTTCCAGAACGGATTCTGTTTGACTTCCAAGGTACGACTGTACAGTGGTGCCCCGCAAGACGAATGCCTCGCAAGACGAAAAACCCGCTAGACGAAAGGGTTTTCCGTTTTTCAATGCACTTCGCAGGACGAATTTCCCTATGGGCTTGCTTCGCAAGACGAAAATGTCTTGCGAGTCTTGAGATTTTTTTTCGCTCCCCCCCCCTTTTTCTAAGCCGCTAAGCCGCTAATAGCCTTTTAGCCGCTAAGCCGCTAAACCGCTAATAGCGCTAAGCCGCTAATAGGGTTGCTTCGCAAGACGAAAAAACCGCTAGACGAAGAGATTCGCGGAACGGATTAATTTCGTCTTGCAAGGCACCACTGTATCTCCTTGATATCTGACCTAAGGAGGAGCACCTTCTTAGTTGATTTTTAAAAGCATACAATGAAACAATTTAAAGCTTGCAGCCCTCATAAAACGGAACTATCATGCACTCTCTCAGAGGTGAAGAAAGAGAGTTGATGTTGACTCAGTTGCTGGCAGCCATGTTTGTTTTGGGTGGGGGCAGGCGTTTGGCTCAAATGCAAAGGGGAGGACATAGGGTTAGGCGGGCCTGTGCGTCGTTCAGAAGGCTCACCGAGGAGAGGGAATAGCGCATGTTGGCTCCCATCGCTGCCAGTTAACAGTCTCGTAGCTCACTGTGTTGCTCTGTTGAGTGTGTGGGGGTGAGCTCAGGGTTTTTCGTGGAGTCCTGGCTCAGCCAGGAGTTACACAGGAACTGAGTGGTGGCGGAGTTGAGGCCGCTGCTGGGAACATCTCCCAGCTTCTCAGGAAGCCCTGCCCGTTCTTGGAGAAGAATAGCTTTTAAATGTGTATTTGAAGGTAGCTCCATATTAGAGGTAGCCTCTTGCTACGCCAGGAAGAAAAACGGTTTGAACTTCCACTAGCAGAGAGAAAGGCATATTAAGTGGACAAGCTTAATATGGTCCCAGGTTGCTTGACAGGAGTGTGGTGCCATCAAGTGAAGTTACGTTACCAAGAAAAAGGACAAGAGCAAACAAAAAAACGAAAAATGCTTGGAATTGTTCCGTTGGCGGTAGTTCTTGTAATTGAAATTAAATTATTTTTTTGGGGGGGGTATTCTTTGATCACAACTTGGTTGTTGCATCTTAATTCCACATGGGTTCCGATTTCTCCACTTGGCGACAGAGCTAACTCTCAGCCTGGCCTAACCAACTCACAAGATTGCTGATAACAGCTCAGTGAATGCTGTTGGCTGGAAGCAAAGGGGAATTGTTTCCATCATGCCACTCCTTTGCCTCAGGGGATTTTGGAGGAAGTTGTTAACTGGAAATAACAAGGATGGGGGCAGAAGATGCTACCTGGCTAATTCTGATTCTGTATCAATACTGTGTGATATTTGTCCTTGTACTAGTTTGGGGTATAATGTTAAGTTTAGATTATTATTTTAAGCTTCAGTGAACACCTCTTGGGGCTGTAAAATGGGGTATATAAGGATTTTAAACAATAGCTAAAAAATACAGGGCTTGGGGAGAGCCAAGTATGCCATTTTGAAGAAAAGGAGGGATATGTGTTAATAAATTTTGATAAGCAGTTGATTTGTGTTTGTAAATGCGTGTGCATACCTGTATGTTGCAGATTTTTAGTATAACTTCTGCCTTTCCGTTTTTCTTTTTCTTTTTGGTAGGGTGTCGGTGTGTCTGTTCATGGGCACTTCAGAGTCGCTACAGAGAAGACGGTTTTTGCAATGCCAGAGACAGCCATAGGTAAAGACTGCATGTTAACGTTTTCCATTGTGCTACCTTAAGACTTTTGATAGAGAAGCAGTGAGGTGTAGCAGTTAAGATTGTTGACTTTAGCGGGGAATGGGTTCAAATCCCTGCCTTTGCATGAAGTTTGCTGGAGACCTTGGTTACACTCTTTTAGACTGACCTGCCTCCATGTATGCTGTTCTAAGGTCAGCGGAGGAAGAAAAGTGGAATATAATGTGTTTATTGTAATATCGCTACCCCCCCCACCCCGCCGCAGGATTTCAAAGACCTTACATACAGGAAACAGAGACACCAAATAAACAAATTATGTATAACACCTCATGCTTTCTGTATTTCTGAGGCAGCTGTCAATAGATGTCCTTGCATATCATCATCATCATCATTATCTGAAATTAATAATAATAATGGTCTGATCTCTATCTTTCCATTAATGGAACACTGTTTTGTTTTGTTTTGTTTTGTTTTGTTTTAATGAATGAAAAGGACTTTGATTCAGTGGAGGCTCCTGGTGGAAAGGAGAGGCAATTTTTGATCATTCATGGAGGGGTAATTCAGGGTCTGAACCAAGACATTTGCAAGAAGAAAGGGCAGTGTGAGGAATATATACAAGAAGAAAACATAAAGTCCAGGGTCAGCATCATTCGTAAAAAGTAGTTTTGCCAATTAAAACACAGGTCTATTAAGCATAGTGGCCATGGAAATCAGGCAGTAGCAGAATGACTGAGCATTAATGTGTGTTTTTTTGGTAGTGGGTGAAAAAAAGGAGGCAGAGATCTTAATTTCAGATGAAAGGGACCAGCTACAAGGCCTGGGGAGGTTTGGAAAAGACAAAAGAGCAGCAGTATGTTTTAATGAGAGGAATAGTTTCCCACCTTCATAATTTTAATTTTAATTTTGCTTTCTTCAATTGCAGGTCTTTTTCCTGACGTAGGTGGAGGCTACTTCTTGCCAAGGCTTTCAGGGAAGCTGGGATATTTTCTTGCCATGACTGGATTCAGGTTGAAAGGAAAAGATGTTCACAAAGCGGGAATTGCTACTCACTTCATAGAAGCAGAGAAGGTAAATCTACCTGAGCAGGTACCTGGCCATGCTGTAATCCCAGGTGAACACTGGGGCCTAGCTTGGGTCTGCTGGATTGGGGGGGGGGGTTCTTCTCAGGCATCTTTTTGCTTCCTGAGAAGGAGAACAAGTCCTCCTTTCCCCTGCTAATGCTTCTAGAGGTATCCTGGCTCTCAAAACAAATTTCAGGACACATTGCAACACTGAATTAGGCACACTAAAGCCTATTTATTTCAGTGGACTTTAGCACAGCCTACTCTTAAGCTACACTGAGACTTCAGAGTTATGTGGCCTTGTATAGAGTTCTTCCATTTTAAAAATATCCTGGCTCGTTCTGAAGCTGTTAATTGCAGTTTCCTGGTTCAAACAGGAGGTGATAGTTAATGGAAACTGGATTGCTGTTGTGCACTCAATCCTGTTGGCCTGTTGATTAGAGACATGGTAATCTGAACATGGCTACTATATCAAAAGACTTATTTTGATCTCCTTGTTGTGTATTTGTGAAGAAGGCCACCTTCACTTTTGCTGAGAGAAGTGGGGAAAAGAATATGCTTGCTAGCGGGGATTGCCCTACCCTATTTGATTGCCACGAGTTCTTTGCAAGGGAATATATTGAAATTATATCAGCATCTCGTGAAATAATGCATTTGGCAATTGTATTTTCGTTTGCAGATGGCTGCCCTAGAAAAGGATTTGACGGAATTAAAGTCCCCATCGAAGGAAAATGTTGCTGATATATTGGATTCGTATCACAAGAAGGTAAATGGGTAGCTAACAATAATAGAAGACTGCGAAAAGGAGAACCTTCATACAGGACACTGAGTCTCTGTAAGTGTTGCTAATTGATTTCCCCCCCAGCACCTCAGTGGCATGTTATAAAATCAAGTTTGACAATCGATCATAAACTGCACCCACTTATGGCCCGTTCTCTTTGCAGTTCTCCCCCTCCCTGATTGTTGCTGTTCACAAGGTCACTTTTTGTTTGAAATGTTGTCAGCTAAAGCAGCTGTTAGTGTCAGAGCACTGAACATAATTTTTGTTTTGTTTTGATAGTGTTCCAAAAATACTAGTGCCAAAAATTACTTGCTGTAATTGCTAGAATAACATCTTTGGTGTTATTCCTATATGGGACACTTTATGGATTTAGTTTTTCTTGCTTTTCCTATTATCTTTTAAAAACGTATGTGGCTGCAATCCTATATATACTTACCTGGAAGGAAGTCCCATTGAAGTAATAGATAGCTCAGTTGGTAGAGCATGAGACCCTTAATCTCAAGGCCATGGGTTTGAGCACCACATTGGGCAAAAGATTCCTGTATTACAGGGAGTTGGACTAGAAGACCCTTGTGATCCCTTCCAATTTTACGATTCTATGATAATTGGGTCTTACTTCTGAGTAGACATGGCTAGGATTGTGTTGTAAGACGCTAATCTTCTGTTTAACAGATGTAATGTATGCAACCTAATGAGTTTGACAGAGTACTTCCTTAGATGGAAAGGAATGAAGTCTAACTCTTGCCTCTGTATGCTTGAAATTTTGCTGTCTTCGAAGAAGTTGGACACATGAAAGGTTGATTCTCTTTCTCCAATATGGCTGCTTCTTTCTGTACCAAGCTTCTCTGATCAACAGACAATGGGAATATGAATGGAATGAGTAAATTTTCAGCAAATTGGGAGAGAGAATAGTGATGTGCAAGCTGAGCGCTAATGGAGTGGAAGCTGTGCACAGGGAGCCACCAGAATACAAATGACAGGCATTAGTTTTTGATCCACAGCTGATGCCGTTGTAACTGAAACACATGTTTGTAGCTTAACCTTGGCCCCTGCAGCGCCAGCAGGTTCAAGGCATTTGTCACGAGCCACAATTTGAACGCTTCATGTCGTGCAGGGCCCCTCTGTTTGGCCGGGAATAGTCAATACCAGTCACCTAATTGACGTTCCTTTCAATCGAAATGTGTATAAATATAGTTCTGGTAGCACTGTGTGTTGCTGGAGATAGAGAAGGGAAGGTTAATTTGCAGGGTGGCAAGGAGCGCCTTTCATACATTGAAATAATGTCACAAGGAGCAGCTTTTACCACAAACAGAGGGGAGCCATTCTTTAGTTTGTAGGTTTGCTGACCCTGGCGACGTGCCATGCTGCATTTGACAAAATTCCCCCTCCTACAGAACATAGAATCGTAAGGATCCATAAGGATCATCTATTCCAACCTCCTGCAATGCAGGAATCTTTCTGCCCGACATGGAACATGAACCCAGAACCCTGAGATTATGTCTCATGTTCTACCAACTGAGCTATCCGGGCATACAGTCGACCTTGGAAGTCGAACGAAATCCGTTCTGGAAGTCCCTTTGCCTTCCAAAATGTTCGGAAAACAAAGGGCGGCTTCTGATTGGCTCACGGAACAGTCACTTTCAGGTTTGCGGCGTTTGGGAGCCAAAACATTCGAGAACTAAGCTGTTTGAAAACCAAGGTACGGCTGTATATTGTAATGACATGGGCTTCTAGCAGTCTCCCATCCAAAGGGCTGATCACGCCCATGCCTACTTAAGTGTCAGTACCGTTGCAGCACCAGAGTTTCTGAGGCCTGTTGTTCTTTATATCAGGCCATCCTGTTCTTTTGTGCACTGTTCTTATACTCCACACTGTGTAAAAGTAGATAAGCTTTTAAAACGGTAGATAAACTTTTATCTTCAAAGCGTAGCTAGAACGTGTGAGGCACTTTGCTTTCAGAAGCACAAAAGAGACAGCTTTGTGTTCCATCAGCCATTTAAAAAGGATTCTGGAATCATGGACATTGTTTTAGTTACAGTCTGAGCCCACCTGAGGATGAAGCACTGAATGATAAAGTAGTTCAGGGCTTGGTTGTAAATTTGAATGGGAGACCATGCAAAATCAAAATAGAAGTGTAATAAGCAAACCGAGAAACAAAAACAGGTTAGCTATAATTTTAGAAAAGTCGCTTGAACTCAAAATGATATTTCATTTATTGCATTTCTTTTTTAAAAGAGAAAAGAGCAAATAGCTGCTTTGCTGCAATTTAGCGTTTGGGATACGGATATGAAAGGTGTTGGTGTGTTCTGCTTTTTGTAACAGTGCAAAGTTGATCAAGAAAAAGAATTCGTGCTTGCCGAGCACATGGACAAGATTAACAGGTACTTACCATCCATTCATGTTTAGCGGGAGCTATGGATTGGGTTCAGTAAACCTTTTGGTTACTTTTTGTTGAGATTCTTGCAAAAATATTTATCCAATAGACCTCTTTTGCAAAAATATTTATGTCATAGAACTGCTTTGATTCAGTAGCTCTTAAATAATTGTGGTTCCTCACTGAGGGCCAAACTGCACATGCAAAAAGAAACTAGATTTCTTTCTATACAGGCCCGTTGCTATCATGTATAGAGCTGTCCCCAAAGCAGGAGGAGCACAGGGGTGGGATGTGTGTGTGCTGAGTTCTCCCTCTCCATCCTCCTCCTTTTCCTCTGCAGTTTGTTGTTCTTCCTCCAATACTGGAAGTGAGCCTGGCTAGAGAGGAAGAGCCCTCCCTTGGGTGGGAAGCTCAGGGAAAGAGAGAGGATTCAACATCCCTGTGCAAACATGAGTTAAATTGTGTGACACCCCTTCCTTCCCCAGTAGAAGGGTGACACGGGTTTGTTAGGCCAGATTCAGTTACTTGAATTTCCAGAAAAACGCTGAAATAAGGCGGGTGCTACCAAAATCTTTTTAACTGATTAGTGGACAGAAAGGAATGATAAGCATGGCTTGTGTAAGTAATAATTGCCATGTATAAAACCAGAAATGCCTATGAGGATTTTTGTAAAAAAAAAAAAAAAGTGTTATCTGAATACCACTTTGACCATGTTAATCATTGCTGCCCAGGTAGTTATTGCTAAAACATGGTGTGCCAACAATTCTTTAGGATTGAGGGACATTGTTTTCTATGTTATTGTGGACTCTTTGGCACAAACATTAAGGATTGTGATTTAATCTCTTTTAAAATCTCTTTTCAAATGGGAAAAATCTTGCCAAGGACATTTTCTTGAAAGGGTCAAAAGCTTCACATGCTGCCTGGTGTGACTATTTTAGTATATCTCTATCTGATGGTACATGTACGTATTCTACAACTTTCAGGTATACATACACCAGTCATACCACCAAGTATTATAAATATTTAAATAAGGTATATAGCTTGGGAATATTATAATTGCTTCCAAAAAATCCCTGTAATTTTGCTGACTCTTGACAAAATATTTCTCCTCTTGACTGAAGTGTAATATATTTTCTGTTTCAGCTTATTTTCAGCAAACAGCATGGAAGAAATTGTTCAGAACCTGAAGAAGGATGGCTCCCCTTTTGCACTTAAGCAGCTAGAGGTGAGGTGATTTTTATCTTATTTTAGGGTTGCATATGTAAGCTACCATTTTTAAGCCTGCCATACTGCCATGAGTGTAGCACAGGGCAAGGCACAATGGGATGTATCTAGCTCTGGCAACAGAATTCCACTTGTGCAGTTAAACTTAATATTATTATTATTATTATTTATTAAATGTATATACTGCCTTTCATACTGACTTTCATATTGCAAACATGGTCTGAAGTAGGTAGCTAATTTTACTTAAGTTTAGCTATTCGTGATGAGTTGTATCCAGTGAACTTCCTTTCTATGAAAGCTTTGTGACCGAGCAGAGGCTTCTGTGAATAGAAATGAGAGGGAGGTGATTTCCCACGAATTCTCCCTTTCTCTTGCAGCCCTCCACCCACCCACCTCCCACCCACCTCTGGAGGGTCCTCAAAGCCTCTAGATCAGATTTTAAGGGGTATGGAGGGGATGCAGAAGGAATTTGTGAGAATCTGCTTCCTCCTCCAGTGCGGGGTCAGAGAGCTTTCTGTCAATGGAAGAACGCTATTGGATAACTTCGCCCTTCCCCTTTAACATTCCAGTTTAAATTTTGGATAAAAAGCACAAAACTCTACTCTGAGGAAAGCTTACATTCGCTAACATTTTAATGTTTAGATTTTGTATTATATCAATTTTGACCCACGGAAACTATAAATATAACCAAATTGAAGTACGCATTTTAACTTACAATAAGTGTTTTGAGTGTTTATGTTTATTTAGTCAGGTGTATCTGCAGAGAGGAATCTGTTTCAATCTGGATCAAGGACTTTTGAATGTAGTTGTTGAAAATGAGTATGGACAGGAGACCTGTTCAGAGGTATCAAGGGCGTCCTTAATTGAAAAGAGCAGCATGAAATTTTAAACCTCTTCCATAATCAAATGGCGTTTATTCAGACGATTGAGAAATTTGGGGCTGTTTTTAAAAGTAGCTGTAGCACCAGATTTTTGCTTGGCTTAGGTGGCAAAATCTATTAACATGTGCTGATGGCACAGGTGTGAAATTGCTGTTTGTCTTGAATCACACAGCCGAAGGCAGCAGGTGTAAAAACACTGCTGGATATAGACTTGGTATGTAAGAGGGGGAAACATTCATGGCTGTGTTTTAAAACTATCAGCACAGTTGATTTGGTTTTCAGCGTTTGCTCAGTGTTGCACTGCTGGATGGTGTTTCTGAAGCTAAAATAATGGAGATCAAGCATATGAATCTTGTCCCGCAACCTGCTCCAAGAATCCACATTCTGTGTGTCCAAAAGTTATATCACAGTATATAGATTAGGTAATGATTAACTTAGAGCTACTGCCTGTTTATTCTTGTTCTCAAGCCCTTCTGTTCTGCAATTGCTGATAAGAAAATTCCTAGACTTCACTAATGTTTTGGTGGCCTTGATTTTCTGTTGACCTTTTTTGAAGATTTATACCCTGCCTTTTGATCCTCAGTGCAGCTTACAACATAACAAGGCAGTACACAGTGGAACAAACAAAGTGTATATGCACACAACAGCCAGCAGCCATTATTCTGCTGGCTGTAGGAAGGGCTTGAGCAGGCATAGGCAAACTCGGCCCTCCAGATGTTTTGGGACTACAGCTCCCATCATCCCTAGCTAACAGGGCCCCAGTGGTCAGGGATGATGAGAGTTGTAGTCCCAAAACATCTGGAGGGCTGAGTTCGACTATGCCTGGGCTTGAGGGCCCTTTCCTATACTTCCGCAGTCCCTGGGCAAGGGAGAAACAAACAAGCTTACTGCAACTGCTTGGATAGATGCTGGATGGGACTAGGCTTGTCTCCTCCTTGCCACATTGCTCTTCCCAGTGCTCCAACTTCCCAGTGACCCTGTAGTCCTTTGGCTAACAAATGGGGCCCATGTGCATTTCCCGGGATGTATGTGTGTGCTGTATTCAGCCAATATATTATTTATTTATACCACGCCCATCTGGCTGGGTCTCCCCAGACACCCTGGGCAGCTCCCAACAGAATATTAAAAACACAATCAAACATCAGTCAAACATTAAAAACTTCCCTAAACAGGGCTGCTTTCAGATGTCTTCTAAAAGTCAGATAGTTGTTTATTTCCTTGACATCTGATGGGAGGGCGGGCGCCATTACCGAGAAGGCCCTCTGCCTGGTTCCCTGTAACCTCACTTCTCGCAGTGAGAGAACTGCCAGAAGGCTCTCGGCGCTGGACCTCAGTGTCTGGGGTGAATGATGGGGGTGGAGACGCTCCTTGAGGTATACTAGGCCGAGGCCGTTTAGGGCTTTAAAGGTCAGCACCTTTAAAGCACCTTTAAACTCTACAATTGAAAAATAATAATGAATGAATGAATGTTAGCCTCCCTGTAGCTTATAGAGGTTCACTCCAACTTAGTTTTCGATTAATATACGCATGTCAATAATGAATTAATCTTTGGTTCTAAAATAACCCTTTCTTTACCGTACAGAAGGTCTGAGATTGGATCAGGTGGGTAGAGTCAGTTCAAGTTTAAAATAAAAGTTGGCTTTTAGCAGATGCTAATTAACTTAGATGGTGATACCTTTAAATCCACGTCTAGACAAAGCCATGCAATTTGTAAGCCTAAGTCCTATTTACTGTCCATTTAACTGAACCAGTAACATGCTGGCTCTCACCCCGTTTTTAGGAAAATGAGGTGATGAATAGCTCAGTTAGTAGAACATGAGACCCTTAATCTCAGGCTTGTGGGTTTGAGCCCCACAAAGATTCCTGCATTCCAGGGGGTTGGACTAGATGGCTCTTGTGACCCCTCCGACTCTACAATTCTATGATTCTATGTAGCTTTGCTAAAACAAAGGTGCTGAAACTGGAGGTCATTCCTGCTGCCCCCCAGTGAAAAGTCTAAAAGCCTGCAAAGTTTGTTCTCTTTCTCTTTGTGTACACACACTGAGTTGTTAATCAAAACAGCTGTAGTTTTATGCAAACAAAGCAGAAGTTAATAATTGGAGCTTGCTATAATAATGCTATTCCTCCCCAGTATAGTTGTCACTGATAAATATAACAGGTAATGGAATATATGCATTGCTTTCTGCCTTTGCAATAAAAACTAAAGTGTGGGCAAAAAGGTACATATTTTGTATGAATGCACGGTATTGTTTGTAAGTAGTAGCCACTGGCCTTGTCTTATTCAAGGACACACATGGATCAGTGGCTGGATCAGGAACCATGTGTGCAAATCTGATTTGTGCAGAAATAGGCCATCTGTGTGGCATCCCCATTTCAGAACTTGTCACATCTAAATACCTTCAAAAATGGTGACTAGGCTTGGGTTGGAGTGGCTAGTTTAAAAGCAGTGTTGAACTTCCTTGGAATTATTATAAAATAAGTTTGTTCGGTGTATATTGAAATACGGTTTATTCTGGTGACACATATGAAGAAGTGTTGAAAGCCATCACATACATTTTTGACATCTGAGCTAATTTTAAACATGCACCTTAGTAGAAAAACAGTGGCTCTGATGTTTTTGCCCTTGGCTGTCCAGAACATAACAAAACTATCTATCTGAGTCTATACTTCACTTGAATCAAATTTTGTTTGGAAGCAGTATAAAGACAATTTATGTCTTTTTAAATATGTGTTGCTGGTATTGAAAGCTCACCCAATACTGCTGATACAATTAGCAATAGGCTAAAACAAACCAATCCAAATAAAAGCAATTTAAAGTAAAATAAACAGACCAACAAACTAGGGGTAACAAGGAGCAGTCGCCGTCAAGAGGTCTCTCTCAGAATTTCCAAAATTCTCTCTGGAAATAAAAATGGCTGTAGAAAGCAGGGAGGAGGCTGTCAGGGTCCTCATAAGAAGAGAATTGTAGAAAATCGAGTCTGTTAAAGAGAAGGCTGTGATTCTGTTAGTGGAGACTTGTCTAGCCTCAACATAGGATGGAATTTGGAGCAGTTAGTAAAAATCCATGGTGCCTTTATAGACTCATAGAAGTTACTACAAAACACGGTGGGTCGGATTGAACTAATGAATCCCATCAGTGGAAGCCCCAGGCAAGGACTTTTACATGCTGAAGGGGGCTCCCCCACTTTGTATTATTTGGGGCTTTTATTTCAGTAGGTCAAGTGGTATAATTCTTTATCTTGTGTACAGCTGAAATATAATTGAAGGCACTGGTTGTAGAAGGGCTTATGCAAAGGTTAATGCCATTAGTGGAGTAGCAATATTGGGATTTGTTTTGTATGTATGGTGTTTTTGAGAAGTTACAACCACTGAGCCAGTGTGGTGTAGTGGTTAAGAGCGGTAGTCTCCTAATCTGGGGAACCGGGTTCGCGTCTCCGCTCCTCCACATGCAGCTGCTGGGTGACCTTGGGCCAGTCACACTTCTTTGAAGTCTCTCAGCCCCACTCACCTCACAGAGTGTTTGTTGCGGGGAAGGAAGCGAAAGGAGAATGTTAGCCGCTTTGAGACTCCTGAAGGGGAGTGAAAGGCGGGATATCAAATCCAAACTCTTCTTCACTGTGAAAGATATTAGTTTGTACAATGCTTGGATATGTGTGTGCTCACTACAGGAGCTAGCAGTTATAGCTCTGGCACTGATAATAAAAAACGATTTTATATACGTGAGCTAAGCAGAGTTGGGATCATTCTCTCGTTCCTGTTATACCCACTTTGAGACTTAGTTTTGAGTAGACATGTTGTGGTTTCTGTATAATGTCACCTTAAAGTTGAATGCTGATGCTTCTTCCAATTTTTAAACTCACTGTGGTGCAGAGTCAGCATCCGTTTATTCCCAACTTCCAGCCAGATGAGGATTTTACTATATACCCCACAAGAGATTTGATAAAATTTGTCCCGCTGCTTAATGTAGACGAAATTGTTGTTCTGTGAGTTTATAAGTGGCCATCATGAGGCAAGTGAATAAAATTCGTATTACCATTGCCCAGGCTTTTTTTTAAATTTAAGCTTCCTTGGTCGCCCATAACACATTATGTATTATCACTCCAGACTTGAATTCAGTTGCTTGCTAAAAAGAAATGAACGTCACTGTAAATATTTTGGGCTGGAAAATGTAAAGCTGAGTTTTTGGCTTGACAAAAGTTAGTGGATGACAGCCAGCGTGATGTCATTACTGAGTAAGCTTGCAGGGATTTGCCAGTTTGGAGGCTTTCCAGTCATATTCCCCCATGGAGGCATTCTTCTGAACCATGGGTATGTTGATAGTATTGTTTGCTTCAAGCTAGTCGCCTCACGTATTGTAGCTTTGTCCTAGGAGTTTCCTAGCTTTCATCTTTCAGTTAATAACTGTAAACAGAAGAAACCATTGATTAGTAAAGCTGCTGTTTTCCAGGAGGATCCCTTAATCTGGGGCAACGTCAGTTCCACCCCTCCCTTGAAACCACAGCTGTTCATCTGTCATTAATCCGGATGCTTCTTTCCTCAATGAGAGGGGAAGCGGGAATTGGGATATGCAGTTTGACCGAGTATTGTGATTGGATTGTTCCTGTGTGCCTGGATAACGCTTCGCATGCTGAATTTTCAGAGTCCCCCACTTGGTGTGTGCTGGAGTTTTTAAACTTGGTATGCTGTTTCTCACCAGAATTCAAACTCGCCCAGCAGAAAGCATTTATCAGCACAGTGCTGTAGGAGGCAGACTAATCTCACTTGAGAGATGCATTCTCTCTGGGTAGCTTCCAGTCTTCCTTATGTTCCACTGACTGACCAGTTTTTTCCTCCATACTGCATTCATCTGCTAAGCCCGATCATTTCCTCTTGGCACAATATCTCTGTTACGTTGCTGCCGTGATCATGTCCAGCTTGCAGGCTTTCCACAGATATCTGGTCTGCTGCCGCTAAGAGAACAGGATGCTGGACCAGGTGGGTCACTCTCCTGATCCAGCAATCTTGTCATATGTTCTTAAGGCTCAGTGACTCACTTTTCTACAGCATACCTACCAGTGATGCTCTTTTCGCTTTCAGCATTTTTCTCCTTCCTGTCTACTACCGTTAGATCCCTCCACCTTGAACCTCTTCGGGATTCTGCATACTGGAAGTTTTCAAACTTGTTAACTCGTCAGGGATCCCTTGCCCTGGAAAGTAGTGTGGATGTTACATCATTAAAATCACAGATGGGCCAACGTCCCCTGACTTAATGTCACGTGGGCTCGGAAATGAGGCAAACTATTTCCCCTCCAAATATGGAGAAAAGGCTAGGCTAATTTCTGAACCAATCCAAGTTTGCTGACCGTTTTCCTGGTTGCAGCTGTTCAGAGTAACCCCTTTGCAAAATTGCGGAGTGCAGGAGTGGCTAAACTTTGGTCCACCCTATGTTTTTGGACTACAGCTCCCATCATCCCTGTCTGTTGGCCATGCTGGCTAGGGTTGATGGGAGTCTGAGTCTAGAAACATTGGGGGCCACAGTTTTCCCACCCCTCGCATGGGGTGCTTTGGAAGACTGCACCTAGGAAAACTGTGGCTGGGTGCAGGGAGGTAGAAAGTCCTGCCTGGGTGCTGTTATTCTAAGGATAATCAGTGAAACGACGTTTCCAATTATTTCAATAGGGAGAGTTAAAGAGGCTATTTTCCTGCAAACAGCTTGGGTGGGGGGGAATAGTAGCTGACTTCAGAAGATTCTCTCCTCCATCAACCTTCAGTGGTGGGTTAGTGTTTGCCCTCCACTGGGCGTTTTTGACTTCCAGGGTGGTGGTAAACTCGGAAGTCTTCTTTGACCTGGAGAATTTGAGAGCTCTTCTGATGCAAACACCACAGAGCCCTTAAAGCTCATTCCCCAGGCCTGAGTTGGGTGAACTTTGTGAGTGCATCTCTTAAGACTCATGGCTTTTTGTATGTACTGCAATTTTCTGGGAGGTGGGGCAGCATTCTCAGGTTGTGGCCAACTTCCTCCATCCCACATTATATAATCATCATCATCATAATTTTTATTTATACCCTGCCTTCCCCAGCAAAGGCCGGGCTCAGGGCGGCTAACAAGCAATAATAAAAACAAGTTGAATGAATACAACTTAAAAACAAGATTAAAATACAACATTAAAATATTGAAACATTAAAATATTAAAATACAGCCTCATCACAGGAGGAGAAAGAAAAAAGAAAGAGGGGGAGGGAATCAAATTGGCTCCAAGCCAAAGGCCAGGCGGAACAACTCTGTCTTACAGGCCCTGCGGAAGGAAATCAGATCCTGCAGGCCTCTAGGGGTTTAACTCTGGACAATGCGTAGGACAGGCTTGCAGCTACCTCATGTTTCCACTTGGCACAGCTTTGTAATACTTTCCCGATTTGAGACATGAAGAAATAGCACATACATGCTCCTCATCAATGACTTTTGAAAATTCCTGGTTAGGAAGCAACTGGAACGTTAAAGAGAGGTTGGAAGCAGATGCTGTTAACTGGGGTTTGTTTCTCCCCCAGTGCTTGTTCTTTCCTTGTCTCTGCTATCAAGCCAGCTGGTGGTGATTCATGTATACAAAACCAGAGGCACAGAACTGTGCTGCTAGTGCTTGCGGGAGTTAGCAGATGTAAGGACGCGGGCAAAATGGGTCACTGCTTTTATCCGCTGGCGTCTGGAGGGAGGGAGAGCCCTGCGCGATCAGGAGCCAGAAACACACTTGATGCTGAGGCTGGTTGGAAATCTGCCATTTGCCCCTGTGGGTTAAGTATTTAATATCCCCATTGAAAACAGCAGCAATAGGTGAAACTCACCATCTGCCGGTTCCCATTTTGTGTATCTTTCAATGTTGAATGCTGTTCGCTTGGATCTTTCCAGTTTCTCTGTTTCTTACATTCTTGTCATAAGCAGAGGGGCAAGTCACCTTCCTTAGGATCAGGAGGCAGTGAAGTTTGTAATTTGTCTTACCCAAGAGAGGAGATTCATTCCCTGATCTCTGTTCCTAGCTCAGCTAGGAAACAGGCTTAAGGCAGTACTTCATTCCTCTGCTCCGACTATCCTCTTAATTAGTCTCTTTTCTCCCTAGCTAGGAGAATTGGGGAGGAAGTGCCAGTTGAGATGAAGGCTGAAAGGAAGAAGCCCAGTTTGGTCTCCAAGGCTCATCTCTGACTCCTCTCCTCCAGGAGAGGAATGTTAGAATGTTAAATGGAGCGCATTCCTTGTTGTATGCTGAAAGTCCATTTTGTTTCTCATAGGCCAGGGTCCCTGGAGGGCTAAGGTTTCGAACAGTGCTAGCCAGCTGAATTAAGAGGTATGAAGATGCTGCTAGCAGAAGTCTTGCCCTTTCGTATGGGAGTTCTAGTCCTGCAGTAGCATCATGGTGTCATTTTCCTATGGAAGAAGATGTGTTGCCTGAAAGAAGTTTCATTCATTGGCTGAGTATTCAGGATTCAACCTTTGTCAGTAGCCAATCTTGCAGCCTCTGGTTGTAGAGTTTCTCCAGAGGATTTTTGGGGCATCAACTCTGAATCAGTTTATCCCTCTTGGGGGCTCTTTTGTATATGGCAAACCCCAGAATTTCCCTCTGCCGATACCTTGAGAGATGTTTCTTTAAGTGGTGACTCTCTTTTCTGAATATTAGCGGAGAAACATTCTTTTCCCACTCGTTAAAAAAATTCTTAGGTGTGTAGTTTCCCGCATAGGTATCTTGTTCTGTTTATACTACCATATTTTTCGCTCCATAAGATGCACCTGACCATAAGATGCACCTAGTTTTTAGAGGAGGAAAACAAGAATAAAAAATATTCTGAACGAAACGGTGGATGTATGATTTTTGTGATTCATGCTGTGGCCACAGACATGATATGTGATTTGACGGTGAGTTTGGGGTAGCCCAATGCAAAAATCCTGAGGATCTATGTGGATCCGTGCTTTGCGCCATTGCGGCCCCACACAACAGTGAGGCTCCATGGGCTTTTACCTCCCCCCTCCCAGGCAGCCTCATTTATCTCTAGTGTCCCTTATCTCTCCCCCCTCTCATCGCTCGCCGATCAGCTGCTTCCTTTCAACACTCCCTTCCCTCGTTTGCCTTAGTGTCTTTTCCTTAACTGGAGCAGTTTTTTGCTCCTCCTTTTCTTCTAATTTCTCTCCTCATTCCTTTAGTCTTCCTGTCTCCTCTCCTTACAAGTTCACTGTCTTTACCTCCCCCCTCCCAGGCAGCCTCCTTTATCGCTAGCGTCCCTTATCTCCCTCCGATCTCTTGCCAATCAGCTGCTTAGTGGCATTGTTTCAACACCCACTTCCCTCTTTCTAAAAAAAAGAGAGCACGATCTGCTTTTCGCCCCTAGGCAATTCGGCTCCAGGGACCACGCATTCGCTCCATAAGACACACAGACATTTCCCCTTACTTTTTAGGAGGAAAAAAGTGCGTCTTATAAAGCAAAAAATACGGCACTTCACTAAAAGTTCCATATACTAATATTCTGCTGTTCCTAAGTGAGGGTAGGGAGTCCCCCAGTTGAGGCCTGTTTCAGCTTTCTTCATCCTGGTCCTGTGGATGGGAACTTTCCACTTCCAGAATGTCCCTCTGCTCATCCCCATAAAGGAGATTCACCAGATAAAGACAATATCTCGTTTTCTGAAAAAATTCAGCCACACCCACACACCCACGGCTTTTCTCCTCTCATAAATAAAATGTATGATTTTCCTTTAGCAGCTTTGATTAATGATGTACATGTTTTCACAGCAAATGGGGAAACAAACTTGATTTATTAGGCTATGTCACTAGTAGTCAGATGTGCTGGCTGTGTCACATGACTGAATAAAGTAGTAGTAAATTATAATTAATGATACATAGGCAGAAGTCCAAAGAACTACTTAAGATGTGCTCAGGGGACACACACACCCCGCCTTGAGTGGCAGAACTAATTGTGCAGCATTCTGGATCTAGGCTTTAATACTTCTAGAAAGCTTTTCTTCCTAAATGCTCACAGTGGTATACATCTTAGTAGTTCTTCCAACAACCTTTTGGCTCCTGATAACAAAAAAAAGTGTACAGCCCTTTGTAAGGCTATATCCTCAAGCTTTCTATTGGCTAGAGCTGTGTTGGTCTGCCGTAGTCAAAAGAAAATAAAAAAAATTCCTTCCAGCAGCACCTTAGAGACCAACTAAGTTTGTCATTGGTATGAGCTTTCGTGTGCATGCACACTTCTTCAGAGCGTCAGACTTGGAGTAGACTTGGACCGGAGACCAGGATCCAGATCCCCACTAAGCCATGAAGCTGATTGGATGACCTTGAGCCAGTCATTGTCACACAGCCTAATCCACCTCACAGGGTTGCTGTGAATATAAAGGGTAGGAGGGATAGTCAAGTATGCCACTTTGAGCTGCTTTGAGGAAAGGTGTGATATAAATGTAATAAATGTATAATAATACATAGCCTGATATTAGGACACACTGTAGTCGTTTAGTTCCAAGAGCAAGCAGATCCTCTAAAATGGGAACAGTGCAAATTCAGTTAATTGGAAATGCCCAGTCCTAGGTATGTAAACCAACATGATCGCAGAAGTCTGTTAACTAGTAGTTCTAGCCTGCTGTATATCTTGTGAAATGGCCCTCTTGCCAGTTTTATACAGGACTGGATCCAAGACCTGTCTAAAGGTGTGGGTATAGTTTCAGCATTTGCAAAGCCCACCAGGAGGAGAAAAATAATAACGGAACAAAGAGCTTTAGAAGGGAGGGTAGGAGAACTTTGAGAAGTATTCAGTATCACTCTTCAGAAGTGTCGTCTCTTAATTTGGGGGCGAGGTGTATGTGGAATGTCAAAGAACAATGATTACCTTTCATGAATGAAGCATTGGTTGGATTTATTCCGGTCAAGTATTTTGAAAAGGAACAGCGCACCTAGTGAACTTACACTATCACATGCTATGTGACCTTTACAATTACTTGTGTAGCGTTAACGCGGAAAGGCTGTCTTGTTTGTTTCCGGGTTCCTGTGACGTGCAGCTCCTCCTCTGGAAACTGAAAATTTACCGTGGAAATGTTTTTTTTTATTTCCACAGACCATTACAAAAATGTCTCCAACGTCTTTAAAGATGACCTTGAGGCAGCTTAGAGAAGGAGTTTCCCTGAGCTTGCAGGATGTGTTCACCATGGAGTACAGGCTGAGCCAAGCTTGCATGGTAAGGCAGCTTACAGGCGGTGTCATGCGTTCATAACTCAGGTAAATAGGGTCAAGCACCTAGCTTCCTGGTTCAGAAGGGTGATTCCAGCTTATCTTGGTGATCAGGGTTTGAGTAATAGCCAACCCTTAGTCATACTTAGAGTAAACTCATTGAAATCAATGGCCTTAAGTCCGTGGATTTCAGTGAGTCTCCTCCGAGTATGACTAACATGTACAGTGGTACCTCGGGTTACATACGCTTCAGGTTACATAAGCTTCAGGTTACAGACTCCGCTAACCCAGAAATAGTACCTCGGGTTAAGAACTTTGCTTCAGGATGAGAACAGAAATCACGCAGTGTCAGCGGGAGGCCCCATTAGCTAAAGTGGTGCTTCAGGTTACGAACAGTTTCTGGTTAAGAATGGACCTCCGGAACGAATTAAGTACTTAACCCGAGGTACCACTGTATAATCTTCTGACAAACTGCATAATGCCAAATGGTGTCTGTGCCACTTCAGTCCATTGCTTTGTTTCCAGGGAAGGATGTGTATTCCAGATTTATTCCGCTTTCATGGCACAGAATGGTTAGAGGATTTTTTTAAAAAATTGCTGAAAATCAGACGACTTATCTATAGAACATTCTTCGAGAAAATGGGGGAAAGAGACTTGGGAATGTAGACGGTGGTACATTTCTCCCTCTGCCCCTTCTCCAAAGGAGATGTCAGCATTTGAGCAGGAGAAGATCCAGAAAGAATTCGGTAGTGGTGATATTATTATTATTATTAATTTTATTTATACCCCAGACACTCTGGACGGCTTCCAACAAAATATTAAAATACAGTGGTCTGTTAAGCATTAAAAGCTTCCCTAAACAGGGCTGCCTTCAGATGTCTTCTAAAAGTCTGGTAGTTGTTCTTCTCTTTGACATCTGGTGGGAGGGCGTTCCACAGGGCGGGTGCCACTACCAAGAAGGCCCTCTGCCTGGTTCCCTGTAACTTGGCTTCTCGCAGTGAGGGAACCACCAGAAGGCCCTTGGCGCAGGACCTGAGTGTCTGGGCAGAATGATGGGGGTGGAGACGCTCCTTCACTAGTTAGTTACCAAGGGCATGTTTGGGGTATAGGAAACGTTTATTAAAATAAGCTTTGATGCTGCAGATATTTATATTTAATGTTAAAGAAGTGGTGAGACTTACATTCTGTTTGGATTACTGTAATGCACTGTTTGTGGAAAGTGTTGGAAACTGCAGTGAGCCCCAAATGCTGCAGCCAGATTGCTGACCAGTAGTTACACTGTTAGTTACAATAGCTTCACTTGCTATTGTCCATTTCCCAGCAAAATTCAAAGTGCTGGTTATGACCTATGAAGCTCTCTTAATCCCATCGCCTTTCACAGACATGTTTGGTGAGGACACGAGAGAGGGCCTTCTCAGTGAGTGCTCCCAGATTGTGGAACTTCCTTCCACATAAGCCCAGGCTCTCCTCCTCTCTGCTTTTCTTTTTGCTGGCAAGCAAAGACTTTTTTGTTCAGTCAGACCTTGGGTTCTGTGAGCTGCTTTGGGCCCTGCACTGGGAGAAAGGTGGGATATAATTTAAATAAATGAACACCATGCTGAAATTTGGCTTACACGTGCTATCTAGACTACATTTAATTTGAATTTTAATTGCAATGGGAGCAAAATATAGGACTTTATATCTCAAAGTGTTCTAGGGAATTACTGTATTATGAGGTTTTTTTTTCTTCCAGCGAGGCCATGACTTCTATGAAGGCGTCCGAGCAGGTAAAGTGAAGGCTAGAGAGGCCATTTCAACTTCCTAGCTTTCGTCCCCCACACTTCTTTTTTTGCTTTTGTATTGTTGGTATACAAGTAGTAGCCCATTTGACATTGACTTCTTGTGCTGCAAACCCTTTGTAGGAAGGTTTGCAAAATGTTTGCAAAACTTAGAAAACCTGCTTCCTGACCCCTGCAATCCCCAGGCCTGTTGGGTATCTCTCTGAATCCTTGCTTTGTGGGTAGCAGTTTGCCTTATTATAGTCTATATTTTGTGGTGAACTGCAGCCATCATACTCTCTCACTTAAAGTTCTCCTTTCATCATTAGCGACAGCTGTCACACATAATGTTTTGTGAGTTAAGCATCCTGAAAGATTAACCCAAGGCATGCAGGCTTGGCGCAGATAATCTAGAACCCAGCAGCACGCAAGGCTGATGGCAGTTAGTTGGGTTAGGTGCCCGGCTCCTAGTAAACTTGTCAGAATGCCAGCACAACTCTCAAGACTGCATCACAGACCAGTGAAAAGGGACTACTTGGAGGTCTTCATTCCCGATGGAACATACACTGGGGAAAAACTAAAAATGTAACAGTTAGCAGGACTCAATATTTGTAGCACCAAAATTGCATTTTGCTGTTCCTTAACTATTATATTTCAAGACACCTATGAGGGAGAAAGGGCACAGTGAAGCACTCTTGTTGCATAGCCTCTTTGCTCATGCAAGGCAGACGAGAATGGGAAGCAGAAGCAGGCAGGCAACTGAAATCTGAATGCTAATATCAACCAGAGTGTTGACTTGGATTGCTGTGTTTAGGAACATCAGTCAAATGCTTTTGGACCTTATTTTAAAAATGAGATCGAACTGCTAGTGCAGTTCTTTCAGAAATTGTACCAATATGAAGTCCCACAGCAAATGCAGTAAGCCGTCTTGAGTCGCAAATTTCTCTAGAATAGTTGTGAAATGTGAATATTCAGTGACCTTACCTACCTGACCTACGGTTTAATTTTTTAATGATGCCAATACTAATGATGTTAAAACATTTATTAAGTGCTCCAGGCAGAATTGCTTACGCCATTGTTTTACATGGCCAGTCATTCTAAGAAATAAGCAGACGACCCAATTAATTTGTTTTAATTAATTCTTAACTCTTTCTGAAATAAGCCTCCCTTAACTCTTCTCAGCCTCAGATATTCCCCCAAGATGAATTGTGGACATAGGGCTAGAGAACGTGCCAGCACAGTAAATGGGGGCCCTCCCCCACCCAAAATAGGCTTGAAAGAAGCATTGCTTGTGGTGTACGGGGTGTTTATAAGTTTCTGTGCTTTGCAAACATACATTGATGATGAGATTGCCTAACACAAATGAGGAAATGGGACATAGTTACAGGATACACTGTACTTTGAATTTTATTTTAATTTCCGTTTTGGGACGCGGGTGGCACTTTGGGTTAAACCACAGAGCCTAGGACTTGCCGATCAGAAGGTCGGCGGTTCGAATCCCTGTGACGGGGTGAGCTCCCGTTGTTTGGTCCCTGCTCCTGCCAACCTAGCAGTTCGAAAGCACGTCAAAGTGCAAGTAGATAAATAGGTACCGCTCCGGTGGGAAGGTAAACGGCATTTCCGTGCACTGCTCTGGTTGGCCAGAAGTGGCTTCATCATGCTGGCCCCATGACTCGGAAAAACTGTCTGCGGACAAACGCCGGCTCCCTCGGCCAATAAAGCGAGATGAGCGCCGCAACCCCAGAGTCGGTCATGACTGGACCTAATGGTCAGGGGTCCCCTTTACCTTATTATGTTAAAGCATTAATAATGAAAGTGTTTCTAATGCAGTTGCTCTACTTCTCAGGCTACTAGCATGTAACTTACTGCATTAGCCATTAAAGGGGCGGTGGAATGCAAGCAGTGACAAGATGGAAGCTGGAGTCCTCATTCAAAGCAGACAGAAATACCAATAACTGTGATTCTTATTGCTAATGTGCCAGGTTATTAAAACCATCTAGGAGTCAGACAGAGGGCAGAACCAGATTACTCGTCGTGCTGATCTGCATAGCCCCGTGAAGTGCTGACTGAGAAACAAACATTCAGAGCAGCTGTAGATAATCCATTTTCTATTTGAATAGCTTGGCTCTTTTTGACCTGAAGGTTGACTGCTACCAAACTAGGGTTAGAAGTGTCTGCTTTCACTCTCAAATCGTCACTAGGTCAATACAATTTCTAACCTTATTACACTGTCTCATGAGAGGGAGATTGGCTAGTAACACCCCTCCCCTCACAGTGAAGTTATTGGCACTTGATTTTAACGTACATTGATACAGCAATGAGGAACCTTCAACCTGTGAGCCTAATTCGGCCAGCCAGGCTTCCCCATTTGGCCCGCAAGACTGTTTCGGCCAATCCATACTTACCTGCCCTGCACCTGATGTTATATATGGCAGATGTGAGCAGGTATAGATGCGGCTCACTCAGCCAAAAGCACGGTTTGCAGGCACTGCTGATCACTGGCACATGAAAAGCCTTGTGCCTTTGCAGTTTGATTTCAAATTCTTCGCCAAAGGAAAACGGGTCACTTGACATCATTGTGATATCAGGCAATTGGCAGGCAGGCAGGCAGTCTTATAATCTAATAATACAGCAGAGCCGGGAAGCCTTTGGGATGGGATTTGGAGAGCAGCAGCACCCGGAAGGTCACATTTCCCCCATTCTTTGGCAAGAGCAGTGCAGCCCCCTGTAATGAGTGCTGTGCACTTTAAAGAGGGTTTGGTCTCCTACTTGGTGTTGGGTAGACAAGTCTTCCTTGCTAGCTAAGCATAATTAGCCTTCAGTGAATGCGTTGTGACATTTTACATTTTGGGGGAAGCTTCTCCCTGCTTTTCCCATGGCAGGTGTCATAACTAAGAGGCTTCTGTAAGTCTTGTTTGACTTTTTTGAAACATAAATCAGCAAGGATCCTTGGGCCCTTTGCACAGATACAGACTTGAAAGACGATTAATGCCCACAAAGCATAGCAAGTTTTTGAAAAGCAAACATAAAATGATCAAAACATGTGGCTATTAGGAGTGAAAAGGGGAACCCATTATGATCACTTGGTCTGACACTTGGTATGGCAAAAGTTCAACGTTACAATGCATGCATCACAGGCTGCTGGGTTTTTTTTGCTGACTGTTTCGTTCTCAGCCATTCTATTCTTGGAGATAGGAGTTAAAGCAATATTTACTTCTCCATTCTCTGTAGAGAATGCCCAGACCACCTGTTACATCCTGATGTACTATAACAGTTTGTTCTCGATATTCATTGGCACAAGGATAACACCTGTTTCAAATATTAAGAAAGGTATCTTAATGAGAACATTATTATTTTTGTTTTCTCTGGTAGTGATAATTGACAAAGATCAGTCTCCAAAGTGGAAGCCAGCCGTTTTGGAAGAAGTAACAGATGAATATTTGGACTCATGCTTTAAGTCTCTTGGAAGCGGTGATCTCAAATTATAAAATATTTGGACTAATGCTGTGCCTCTTTTAGTTCTAGCTTTTACTTAAAGCAACTAATGAATAATTTTTAATTTGGCATATTTGGGATAACTGGCATTGAGTGAAATGCTCATTGCTGTTACATCAAGTACTGGGGTCAAATATTGGTCTAGAGGGAATTGTTGGGGCAGTGCTATCCAGGGGTTAGCCAGATATCCATCATAAGAGCTTTTATCACCTGTGTGTTTGCATTTTTACTTTTCCATGTAAAATGAAGAAGATTATTTCATATAAAGACTCAGGTATCCTTGAATCAACTAAATGTTGTCTGCATATTGGGTTGTTTTTAAAATATATGCCGTTCTTTAAAATATGTTTTATAGGTGGCTTATGAGATAAAACAAGAATTTAAAATAATCACAATTACCTTTATCAGAATGTATGGAAACTTAATTAATCCAGATGGATGAGCTGTTGAGCTGTGATCAAAAAGACTTGAAGTGGACGAAAAGAGTGTTCTAACCAAGATATCTTAGCCACAGCTAACTAGTTTGTCCTGATGAGTCAGGAGCTGATTTGTCGTTGGACAGTACATGTGAGATTCATGAAAACCTATGACTGTATTTTTGGAGGGCTATTAGATATATGACTTAATTGATTATACCTGCTTGAATATTTACATAAAAATAAGATCTGATGGAAAACATGTACTTCCTGTGTTTTTGTTGCTAGGTGTATGGAGGCAAGTCTCCAACAGGTCTATCAACACCAACCAATCACCTCATTGAATGGCCTCTAATGCTGACTTAAAGATCTCCATCTTGAATTCTTTTTAGGCCATCCTCTTGTTCAGCCACTTTAGGTCGAGGATTGCTCAAATCTCCCTCTTTGTTTTTAGCCAGGAAGAATAATAAGTACACCTTGTGCTTCCTGTCTCATTGCGGCACTGGATCCATTGCCTGAATAGCTAAAAGATGGTTAGTGGCTGTGCTTGTCTGGCTCCCTGGACTAATGAGTATTGATAAATTTATCTCTTGGCTGTCTGAAAAATCCAGCGAGTAGTCAGAGGAAATGGCATCAATCACTCACCTGTCAGATGTGGAGAAGTCTGCCTCCCTGGCATCATGCAAACTCCTTTTCGGTTCCCTTCTGAAATTTCATGGGTGAGGAATACCCCGAGTTGGACTGTGGCCAAGCAGAAGAGGCGGCTGTGGCTCGCTGTGTGTGGTTCCAGCATTATTTGTGGATGCTTGAGGAATGTTGCTCACTGTATTGTGATCACCCTTCATAAAGCGCAGGAGTGCCTTCTGTTTGTCATGTGTCTCCACTAGCAGCTCCTCAAAGACCTTCCACCTGCTGTGAGTTAGCAAGCTGGCTCTGTGGCATTGATGTCCCAGTTGCAAAGCCAGATGTTACATCTAGCAAAGATGGTTGCTGCCATAGCCCTGACACTGGACTGCACTGCATCCCGCGCAGCGTCTGCTTGGAAAGTTGCAGCAATGGAGAATTTCTTCACTTTTTAAAAGGTAAGAAAACCCCAGCTGTCCCAAACAAAAGGCGTCGGTGAGATGGTTCCACCCCCATGTAGGATCAGTCATTTGGTCCCCGCCTGTGCAGCTGGTGGGAGGAGACATCCCAGCCTCGTGACTGCCCACCAGGATCCCTCGGGGAAATCATAATTGAGTTTTACCACCTTACATGAGAATGGTATGTCATTTTCAGGTTTTGGACTATACACAGCTAGTTCAGTTCTCAGGAACTTCCACTGAGTTCTGTAGAGGAAAATAAGAGGCTAGAGATAGAGTGAGCCCTGAGTTCCTGAGGGCTGGGGAAGCTGCAATGTGCATATTTAAGTTTTGTGTGGACACAGACTTTTTCCTGTACTCTGTCTACACATTCCCTGCTCTGCCGTGATATAAATTTTGCTGGCATTTAAATAGTTCTTCTGTTTCTTGGGCTTCTGCAGATGTAGCAATGCCCTGCAACTAGATTCTATTGATTTTAGTTACTGTGGTGGTTAGTTAATGAACATTTACATGCCACAACTGGCTGTCGATCTTCCTTCTATAGGCTTTTTATAGTAAGGCAGGTCAAGCCACTGTTCTGCTTGTTTCCATGGTAATAGATGATAATGTCACAATTTCAGAATTTCTATTTCTCTGAAGAATCAAGATAGCTAAAAAATTGTTAGAAAATGAGAAAGCTCGTTTGAAAAGAAACATTTTTAGTAATAGTTAATGAGAAACTGGATGGAATAACAAAAAGGAAATACAAAGCTGCATTATTCACCAGTAGCCCCTTAAGAAATTTAGGAACTATGATTTCCCTATTTCCATAAATTGGGAGCAAATACACATACAGATCAATCTACTGTTCTATAACCAAGATTTGAAGGGGGCAGGATTTCTCAACTTGTGTCCTTCCATCTCTACACGGCATGTAAGTGGAAGGGCCACCCCCGCCTTGTTCTCTTCTTGAACCATCTCCCATCTTGGTTCTTGTTTAAGGCCTTCGGTACAGTACTGGACCAGGGACATCAATTGGCCTTATATCTTAAACATCTAGTATTTGGATTCTGCCACACCACCATTCTGTGCTAGAAAGCAAAATTCCATTGCTACACAATGGCAGCTACCCAGGTTTTAAGTTCAAATTTAAAGTTTTTCAACCAGATTTCAGGCTCGATATTTGTAATTAAGTTTTTGGAAAATGCTGCAACGTAATCACGGTATATTTCCACACTGATGTGTCATGCCTGTTCTTCCCTCATGCACCCATTCAAGCCGTTGTATGTATATTTAAAGCCCTTATTCAGTTTCCAAATAAATACACAAAAGTATGATTTTTTTTTTATTCAAACACAGTTGAAAGTGATTAATCATTTGGGTAGAAAGAAAACATAACATATACTGTAAAAAATATATTGTAATAAGCTATAGTTTAGGTTACCACTTCCTTGTGCTACAGAAGTACCAGATTTACAAAGTTGTGCTGTAGATAGTGCTTTAAAGCATGGCTTTTGCCATATTTACTTGGTCATTTTCCTGATTTTAAAAGAAAAAATATGCTCAAAATAAAGTGTATTGTTAATGTCCATATTACACAGTATCAAACAGAAGCTAAATCTTTTGTGATACATTGATAGAACACTGGCAGTAATATGTCTTTTATAAAGTATAATAGGGGTCGCATTCAGTTTTATTTTGGTTAGCGTCCACTTTAGTGATATTAATTTACGTAGAAATGAAATATTTTTAGAAATATTAACAACTTCATCTGGTGTTGAAGATCTGGAGAAGTCAAGCTCTTCCCCTGCTATTACTCCGGGCTCTTAAGATTGTATCTTTGCAATATGCCTGCTACCAAAGAAAGGACTGCGGCAGGAGAAACAATGCAACATCTGGGACAGGCGGCTTCTCACACATTGCTGCTATTTCTACTACAATAAGATACACCAGAAGAAATGACAGCACTGCTTGGAGATCACCCTCCCCTCCACCCCCACCATTTCAGTACTGAAATTTTACCAAATTGAAATTTAGTGTTCGGAAATGATATTGCATGCCACGGTTAGTCCAAGAACAAGTAAATGTTCATTACATTCATAATTAAATTTCTTTTCACCAGCAATTCATATTGCCACCATAACTAAAGAGTGGGACTCCTATGTTGCCTTGGACATAACCTGCCTTTCATTTGTCTTGTGCTAACTAGAACTTGCACATCTGAAAATAATATCGAGGACATACCCCCAACATTTTCAGCAAAACTGTTGATCATTTGACTAAATCCTCAAATAACTTACCTAGTTCTCTCCTCTTCCAGTTCTGCCTTTCATTCTGTCTGCTGCATTTCCCTTTTTCTCTCTCAAATAGCGTTTTAAACTGGAATATTGTGGTCTCGACAAAGGGTATTCAAATTAAAATGTGATATTTTTAAAGGTATGCTGCCCTGCTGTTTACTTTGTTACCAACAAAAAAATAGGCTGGAATGCTTTTTCAACATTACCCAGGAATTTTCACTATTTGTTGTCAGTGTAATTTGCTTCTTAACCATCAACATTCAATGTTAATTCATCTCCCTTACAGCAGCAAGTCTTTGGTCTGACATACAATTTGTGTACTCAACTGAACAAAGTTCCAAACAACTAGCCCCAGTACATCAAAATGATCAGATATGTCTAGAAAAAGCAGCTCTGATGGTGGTATGAACCATGAACATGGTGGTATAAGCACTTGTATCCCTGGTAGAGTTAAACACTTAGCTAACTCTCCTATAAATGGGACTTAAAACTCTTTAACTTTGGCAACACTGTATTCAGTGCTTACATTTACAATTTTCTCTTAGGTGGAGTTAGCAATTCACATGCCTACTTCACCATCACAACTTTATAACCTTATTTCTTAAACCCTGGCTCAATCTTAATTCAACTATACCCACTGTTCCAGAGATTTCAGAAACACGAGCACTTAATGCATTTGTTCTTGTGCATCTTTAGTGCTGCTGCCAATACTGAACACAACTGATTGGAGCACTGACTTACACACAAGTTGATGAACCATTTGATACTACTGTGTGTGGTTCTGTTAAAAAATGAATAGTAAAGGCAAGGTGTTACATTACCAGAATCAAGGCTAGCTGCATCTGTACAACCGGTGTCTTTCAAAATCACAACTGCTCTTGTATGAATGTCGCTTTATTTGCACTAGCACCAAAAACAAGAGACGCCTGACAAAGTGAGAGGAGCCAAGCCTTGCAATTCATGAATCGTCACTTTCTATGTAGGGGATGTCACTATATTTGCTTTCAACCATTGACCATTGCTTCACAGCTTGATCCAGAATCTCTAGGGAGAGACGGTGAGCAAAGTCCATCACTGCAGGGCTTGCTGAAGATGACATCCCAGACTTTGTCTGAAATTGGGAAGATTTATCTACGTTACCTCCACTATATTCGCTGACTTCCCGGCTTCCATCATCTAGAATAGTGTGTGGGAAGGGGCTTTTGGATTTAATACAGCCCATGGTACAATAACAGTAAATGGAAGTTCAATTTAGCTGCACGGTCAACCTTGAAGTACTGTCCTTCAGAGGGCTCGAGAATGCCACTTTCTTGAAAGCAGAGATGAGAATATGTCTCTCTCCCAATATCTGTGGAGAAAACGTTTTACATGGTAGGGTTTAGATAGGTTCTTGTTTTTGGGTTCTACTCTAAAAGCGGATTTTTAAAAGACAGATTTGCTAGACAGAGTTTAAGAAAAATATAGTTTGTTTTCTATTTAGGCCTTGAAAGGTTTTAGGCAAATGGCAACCACTTACAACAAAGGACTCTCTCCAAACACCCCCTCCCCAATTTAGAACATAAATACTAAAAAGTTTAGTTTCGTAACTGTTACCCACACTAGCTAAATGTTATTTTCAAGTTTAACCTGAGTAGCTCAGTACACCTCAAAGGCTGGTCCTGGATATGAATATAGAATTGTATTCAGTGCTAGCCCTACTCAGAGTAGACCTACTGAAATTAATGCCCATTAATTTAAATGGCTCTATTCTTAGGATGTGTTGGATACCACCCATGGGCATAATTTTAGCCTAACTGGGTTTAGACTGCTTTAGGATACAATTAATGCTAATGACAGTTTAGTGGTACCTGGATAAACCTCCATGGTTAAGAGTAGCATCAGGCTCACAAACTCCTCCCCTGTCCTGTACAGCCAGAAGGACTTTTAAAAAATGGGGCAGGGAACTTTGGCAGCCAGCCTGCATCTTCAGAACCTCCGAAATACAACACAGCAGGGTAACAACTTGCACAAGAACTTTGACAAATGAAGCCACACAGTTGGATGGAAAGAGCAGACAGACAAGTATTGGAGAAACTAATCACAAAAGAAAGACTCAACATCTCAAACACTTTCAGAAACTTTATGAAGCCACGTGAAATTACTTTCGAGCACAACTTTTCTCATTGGAGTGTGTTCAACATTAATGTGTGTGTTTGAAACGGCCATATGTGCTGCCACCTTACTGGTCCTTAAGCCCCTCTAACTTTTTATCCTTGTAAAGCAAAAAAGAATTTCATTTAGCACACTGCCCAGCAGCTAATTCCTCCCTCAGAAGACTTAAGAGGCAGGACAACCAACTAGGAGATGACAACACTAGCACTTGCAAGTGCCATTAGCAGCCACTAGCATCCTGAAAATACAGAAGGCTCAGCAATGTCCAACACTACTACGCAGTTGGGATTTTGCAAACCTCTGACAATGCTAGACTATTAATGACCTCTTATTAAAGGAGGGATGAGGAACCTCTGGCTTGAATTTGGCCTGGTAGGGCGGTCCTTATTATTATTATTGATTGGCATGGAAAACAGAGCTTGCTTTTGATGCTGAATTCAATGCATGCACTGCTGGGATCAGATCCTCTTGGGAATGGATCCCTGCCAAATGGAACTTGCACTCAGCCATAGATTTAAATTGCGTGCTGACTGCAAAACCTGCTTTTGGCAGTGATCTTTGGAGCTCTGACTTGAAATCAAATTCAAGCCAGGGCTGCAAGTAAGAGTAGTGAGCACAATCAGATCCCCACCCCTGGTTTAAAGGATTGTATCTAACCAAGTTCTCCCAGGCCTTTGGCTAATTAAATAATCTATGGCCTTTTAAACTGGGGGGGGGGAGGGGTTTTTGTTTGTTACTACCGTATGTTAGTTATTTTTGCATTTTTAAATTGTGAACTGCCATGTGATCCTTGGATGAAAGATGGTATAGAAATTTAATACGTTTGTGTTGCTAATGAACTTGCATATGAATTTTAAGAACTGGCTGCAGTTTCTGGCAAGAAAGGAAAGGTGTGAAAGCACCAATTGTGGGTGAAACAGGCTTCTTCATTCATAGGTATGTACTTTATTAGGATCAATGCATTTTGAATTAGGAACTTTTTCAGGGGCACTATGCAGTTAAAATAACAAAAAAATCCTCAACCATTTATATTGCATAGAGTTCCTGAAGAAGATTCCTGTCTTAAATGCATTTGGCCTAATAAAGTTACCATCTGTGTACCTAAAGGTTTCCACTCATCTCTTGCTTCCACTGTCTAGCACACACACCTGTTCCACAACTATAGCCAGAATTTTAAAAGCTAACAACTAGTATTTTAAACACACAGTACAATACTCAGACCAGAAAGCTCAACAGCAGGCTCTAACAGTTAACTAGATACAAGCAGCTATTGTCATATATGTCCCAGAGAATGAGAGCAGCAAAGTAGAGATGAAGAAAAGATGGACATCCAGTAAAAGACAATGATCACCTTAACTTTGTCAGGTAATTGTTAATGAAATATCCCAGTTCAGAAGTATTTCATGGTAGGCGTTAAAGGAATTTCTTGGACAGAAACTGCACCTGAAGAAAAACTGTCCTTTACGTATTCAACACTACAGAGCACTGAAAGCTGTCTTATGACAAGTCAGACCATTTGTCCATCTGAGTGGCAATGGCTCTCTAGGGTCTCAGACATGAGACATTCCCAGCCATGATCCTCAGCATACAAAGCAGATGCTCTAAGGCAGGCGTGGCAAACTTATGGCCCTCCAGAAACTACACTTGAACTAAAATTCCGAATATCCTTGACACTGGTTATGCTGTCTGGGGCTGATGGGAATTGTAGTCCAAAGCCACTCCCGACATAAGGGGGGGTTGCGGGCTCACGCCCACCTACATCCGTGTGGGGCTGGCTGTGGCCCCGCACGACTTGGGAATCCTCGGGCTGCGTCATTCCCTGCGCCAGCCAACCGGCTGGCGACAGGGGCAGGGCTAAGCAGGTCATATAAGGTCGGGGCAGCCCGGGATCGCAGGATTTCCCAAACTAGGGTCTCCAGCTGGTTTTGGACTACAATCCCAACCACCCCTGACCTCTGGATGATGGAAGTTGTAGTTCCAAAAACAACTGTAGACCCAAGTTTGGGAAATCCTGTACTAAAATTTGGCTAAGAAGTAACTGATTCCACATGCAAGCTGTAGGAAAGTCTATCACTGTCCTGATTATATATATAGGGAGGGTAATGTTTAAAAGCCCTTTACCATGTGCAAAACTCCTAATGCACGTACTGCTTGTGCACCAGTCTTGCTCTCAGGACCTATAGTGTTGATGGATGCATAGGTTTTTAAACATGAATGAATCTTACATATAGTTTATAATAGATACTTTTCTGTGGCATAGAAAAAATACAGTCTTAGCCTATTTAAGTCCAGGTGCATTTAACAGATAACAAGGGAATTTGCAGCACTAAGTTGTCAATCAAACTTTCAGTCCATGTTCAATATTTTCTGACATGTCTTCAGCCTCCTAAAGCAGAGTGGCTAATCAGTGCACCTTCTACTTACCATACAGCAACTCCAGGATTAGTCAATTAACATAAGCCAATTTTATGATTTGGAAAAAAAATGGCTTTTGTAACCAGTCTGAAAAAGCATTTTAATGACAGAAGTTCAGCATTGTTTGAAAATGAATGCAGACATTGGGTTGTTGGTATTAGACATCCAATGTCTAACTAGTTGACAGGTCAAAGAAAATGGTCTGCCTAGCAGTTCCTTAATATGTCTTAAAACATTTCTTTCAACCCTACCTGGAATACACAAATGAAGAAATAATTCCCTTATTCCTGTTAGTGAGGGGACTCTTTTCATTCCACTATTCATTTTATTCATCTAGAAAACCACTGAAGAATCCTACTCCCAAGTACTAACCTCCAAAGAGACTACTACTCAACTGCATCTGTACTATATAATAAAAAAGGTCAGACTTTGGGATTTTGTACTAAGGCTCCGGTGTTCTGCAAAAACTCCAAAGTATATCAGATAAAAAACTCCAAAGTATATCAGATAAAATCCCATGATTGATATTCTGCAAATACACCACTTCTCCACAACTTGACTCAAATTATAATGCTTCACACAATGGCCTGATACAGATGTAATCCACAAACACTGGTTTGCTGTTACAAGCTTCAAGATTGCACATGAAAGGAGGATATTTAAAGCTTTAACTCCTGGTGTACATTGTTTACTTAAGACTTCTAAAAAGCTGTTGAGAATATCCCATGCCAAAGACTCCTGGGTAGACTTAGCAGACATGGGGTAAGGGAAGAGACCCTCTAATGGATCATTAACAAGGAACAGAAAACAAAGTCCCCTGTGGAAGGATATAGAAAGTGGAGTCCCTCCAAGGATTGCTATTGGGATCTATGCTTTCTAACTTGTTCATATATGAGCTAGAGTTCGAGGTGAGCAATGAGTTAGCCAGGTTTGCTGATGCCAAATTGTTCAGGATGGTTAAAGCAAAAAAAAAGACAGTAAGGAGCTCCAAGAGTATCTGTCCAAACTGAGTAAATGGACAGTAGAATGGCACATGTAAGTCAGTGAAAGCAAATGTTAAGAGATGCATGTTTTTTGGAAGGGGGGGGGAAATCTTAATTTCACATATGAGCTAATGGGGTCTTAACTGTCAGTGACTGGCCAGGAATGAGACATTGGCATCATAGTGGATAGCTCAATGAAGATGTCAATTCCGTATGTGGCAACTGCAGACAAAGGTGAATTCCACATGCTGGATCATGCAGAAAGAGATTGAGCAATAAATCTCCCAATGTTATAATGCCACTACACAAACTAGGGTGCAAGCGCACTTGGAATACTGTGTATAGTACTAATCACCTCACCTCAAAAAGAAATTTGTAGAGCTGGGAAAAGTTCAGGAAAGGGCAAACGGAATGATCAAGGGGAAAAAGAAACTCGCCTATGATAAAAGGTTACAACATTAGGGGTGTTTTAGTTTAGAAGTAGTGCAAGTAAAGGGGAACCTGATAAAGGTGTACAGTGGTACCTTGGGTTACATATGCTTCAGGTTACATACACTTCAGGTTACAGACTCTGCTAACCCAGAAATATTGCTTCAGGTTAAGAACTTTGCTTCAGGATGAGAACAGAAATCATGCGGCAGCAGCAGGAGGCCCATTAGCTAAAGTGGTGCTTCAGGTTAAGAACACTTTCAAGTTAAGTACGAACCTCCGGAACGAATTAAGTACTTAACCCGAGGTACCACTGTACAAGGTTGTACAGAGTGTGGAGAAAGTGGACAGAGGGAGGTACTGGATGATTCAGGACAGACAAAACAAAGCACTTTTCCCCCACCCTGCATAGTTGAACAACGGAATTTGGTCCCACAAGAGGTAGTGATGATGGCCACCAACTTGAATGCCTTTAGGAGGACTGGAGAAGTTCATGGAGGAGAAGAGTATTAATGGTTGCTAGACACAAAGGCTGTGTACTGCTCCCACTGATGGAGGCAATACAAATAATAGTTGCTGGGAAATGCAGATGAGGTTCTGCCTGCAGGGTTCCCATGGGCATTTGTTTGGCCACTGTGAGAACTGGATGCTGGACTAGGTCCTTCTTTTTGAGGACTTTGAAGGAGGAGGGGAACCCAAACTGATGAGATATACAGAAACTACTGAGGAGAGGGCAATAGGCATTCAAGAGCAGGCTACAATTGTGGAAGTATGGCCAATAATTCCTTAGCTTTAGGTTAGCAGAACTACATCATCACAAATTTCAGTTACATCTACTGAATAAATCCTATGGATTCGAAAGGACTTGCTCCCAGGTAAGTGTTTGTATAGGATTGCAGATAAAATCTTTCACTAATTCCATGGGGTTAATCTTGAATTTGGCTCATGTTTTGAGCAACGGTTGTCTCACATTTCCACATTCTTTCTATACAACTATGTGACTGGAAGCAACATGCAGTCTAAAATGACAAAAGCCAAGAATCTGAACATTCTGCTCAGACTGCTATGTTCTACATTCTGTGCCATACAGTTTTTCTACCCCTGCTTATTTCACTTCATTAAATTAAGCATACTGAAGCCTAATTGACCAGCTGGGCATGAAACATTTCTCTCATTATGATTTACAGCTCCTAAACAAGGCCTTGTCTTTGCCAGAATACTCTGTCCTAAGACTACAGTTAGATGTGCCAAATACCTCTTTTGAAAAGGAAAAATCTAGCTACAACCTTTTCCTTACGCGTTTATGGAGGCCACTTACCAATTAGTATCTTGCTTTGAATGTATTTCTCCAAATGATCCACAGAATAAGAGGCACAACTCGCAGTCTAGGTTCCTGTGTAACAAATAGAGAATTTGTTCTTGTTAAAACTAAGCAGCCTCAAATGAACAAAGCTGCCCTACCACAACTCCTTACCTCTTTGCCTTAACAGTTCTGACAGGTCAACTCTATTCATATTTATTCAAATGCAAGTCCCACCAAGTTAAATGGGATTTACTTCTTGGAATGTATGTTTGTGATTGCAGTTTTAATTTGGCAAGCATTTTAACCAGAAATGTGTTTTGCTTTTAAAGTACAGTCCAGTCCAGAAGAGCCAAAGCACATCAGTGTATTAATTACTAAGACTTTGATTCTATCTCACCATGCTTGCACCTTATAGTATAATTGTACTATTGCATTTTAGAAAATAACACCACTGTTATCTTTTAAGATTATGCCTACAATAGACAATTTTTCCCATGTAGAATATAGTGTACACCAAGAATTTATGAGGTTTGCCTTGAACTATGCTACAGAAATGCTTTTATCAGTATGCTAGCTTTTTTTAATCTTTCAGCATTAAAACGGTAGCTTGCGTATTTACATACAGCATCATATGTCCAATGACAAATCTATGGTAACATTCTACCTTACTGTCCCGGAGCTAGTCTCTAAATCTTCTGTGTTGCTGGGAAGTTTTTGCTTATTTCAACCCAACACTGTGTTTCTCTGGTAAAATACAGTTTTAGGAAGGATGTTCGGGTTGCCTTTTAAATAGAATTGCATCTTCTCAGAATATCTAGAAGTTACATGTGACAGTGTTTTAAGTGGTGGGAAGATGCATTTTCATTTTAACACACACCTACCATCACCACCTACCCAGATAGAAAACCTGTAATGTGTTGAGATTATAGCTATTTTAGAGTAGTAAGGAGAACTAGATCTATTGCCATATTAAACAATAGTAAGAAATGGTCACAATCACTTAATGCAGAGGTTTTAAATCTTTTTGAGTCCACAGCTCCCTTAATCAACTACCATCTTTCTGCAGCACCTCTGTGGGGCTCAGGAGCCCAGTTATGTTACCCCTTGCCTGCAGAGCTACCAGCCTCTCACCCTTTCCCGAACACCCACCCTTGTGTAATGTTCCCTCAACCTCCTCTCCTCTCTTCCCCTCCCCTCTCCTTGGGAGTCCTCTGGGCAGTCTCTGAGCCCCACTGCCCCAAAGAGAGGTGCCTCCTAGAGGCACAATTCGCTTGCGGAGCTTATAGCCAAGGATGTTGCAATAAACAACTGTGCAAGCCTTTGGTAGGCAGAGACGTGAAAGGGTATCAGAGGAAGGAGGGAAAGAAAGAGGGACAGATATTTCCACTTGGTATTAATGTTTCCAAATTGTGTGGTGATCAACAGCATTTTTAGAGTAGTCATAGTATGTAAATATTTCTGTATACCGTATTTTTCGCACCATAGGGCGCACCGGACCATAGGGCGCACCCAGTTTTTAGGGGGGGAAATCAAGAAAAAAATATTTCCCCCCCAGCCCCAAAAAGCAGCGTACAGGCTGCGCACATCCTCTCCCTGCTGGAGGGGTTGCGTGCGGCTATGGCAAAAGCCAAGGCAGCGAGCAGGATGGATCCCGCTAGCTGTTTTGGCTTCCCCTTTAGCCCCGTGCTGCCTCTCCTTGCCAGGAGACGCTGCGCAGGGCTAAAGAAGCCATAGCCCCGTGCAGCCTCTCCTTGCCGGAGGGGTTGCGCGCAGCTATGGAAGAAGCCAAGGCAGCGGGCGGGATGGATCCCGCTCGCTGTTTTGGCTTCCCCTTTAGCCCCGTGCAGCCTCTCGTTGCCGGAGGGGTTGCGCGCAGCTATGGAGCAAGCAAAGGCAGGGGGCGGGATGGATCCCGCTCGCTGTTTTGGCTTCCCCTTTAGCCCCGTGCAGCCTCTCCTTGCCGGAGGGGTTGCGCGCAGCTATGGAGCAAGCCAAGGCTGTTTTGGCTTCCCCTTTAGCCCCGTGCAGCCTCTCCCTCCCGGGAGAGGCTGCGTGGGGCTAAAGAATCCATAGCCCCGTGCAGCCTCTCCTTGCCAGAAGGGTTGCACGCAGCTATGGAGCAAGCCAAGGCTGGTTTGGCTTCCCTTTAGCCCGTGCAGCCTCTCCTCCCGGGAGAGGCTGCGTGGGGCTAAAGACTCCATAGCCCCGTGCAGCCTCTCCTTGCCAGAAGGGTTGCACGCAGCTATGGAGCAAGCCAAGGCAGGGGGCGGGATGGATCCCGCTCGCTGTTTTGGCTTCCCCTTTAGCCCCATACAGCCTCTCGTTGCCGGAGGGGTTGCGCGCAGCTATGGAACAAGCCAAGGCAGGGGGCGGGATGGATCCCGCTCGCTGTTTTGGCTTCCCCTTTAGCCCCATACAGCCTCTCGTTGCCGGAGGGGTTGCGCGCAGCTATGGAACAAGCCAAGGCAGGGGGCGGGATGGATCCCACTCGCTGTTTTGGCTTCCCCTTTAGCCCCGTGCATCCTCTCCCTCCCGGGAGAGGCTGAGTGGGGCTAAAGAATCCATAGCCCCGTGCAGCCTCTCCTTGCCGGGAGACGCTGCGCAGGGCTTTCCTGGCTTTCCTGGGAGGTGGGGGGATTCCCTCACCTCTCGCAAAAGCCCGCAGAAGCCGCACAACCCCTTTAAAGAGATTGCGGCTTCTCCTGGCTTTTCTGGGAGGTGGGAGAAGCAACTGATGCGGCCAGTCAGTCCCTTCTCCCTCTTGGGGAAAAGCCTGCAAGAGCACACGGAGCTTGTGTGTGGCTCTTGGGGGCTTTTCCCGACTGCCTCCCCCCTGCATTCGCTCCATAGGACGCACACACATTTTCCCTTTTTAGGAGAGAAAAAGTGTGTCCTATGGTGCAAAAAATACGGTACTTTTATAAAGCAGTATACGGTATTTTATTTTGCCAAACTATTCTATTCTTTAGTACTCTGTAAAGTGCAACAACAGTGAAGTTTATTGTACTTTGAACAGGAAAGTCTGTACTAAATTCCATGGCCTTGCTTCTAAACCAACTTTACTTTCTGTTGGCTTGCACAATCTCTCTCTAATCTGCAATCCACATGGATTTAGCAACTATTTTCATATCAGAGATACTCCAAACATACTGCACAATCTTGGGAAGATAGAAGCAGCCATGCCACATCAGGCCAAAGATTCACCAAGTCAAGCATTCTGTTTCCCACAATCAATAATTGAAAGTAACTGTCCACGCTACACCCCTCCCCCTGCAACTGGCATTCAGTTCCATACCACTTCTGAACTTGGAAGATCCATACAGAGTTCATGACTGATAGTCACTGATAGATTTATCCTTGATGAATTTGTCTAATCCCCTTTTAAATTCATCTAAGTTTTCTGTCATCACCATATCTTGTAATAGCAAATTCCATAAAATTAATTATGGGCTGTGTGAAGAAGTACTTCCTTCTTATGTCCTGAACTTCCTGGCTATCAATAATATTTGATTAACCTGTGTTTTGATATTATGAGAGAGGGGAAAAACATTGCTCTGCCTGCTTTCTCTACACCATGCATAATGCTGCCGGTCTCTATCATGTCCCCCTTTAGTTACTTTTCTAAACTAAAAAGTTCTAAAGCTTGTAGACTTTTGCCACAGGGCAAGTGTTTATTTTGACTGCAGTATTCTATGCCTTTCACTAATCTACAATATTCTTTATGAAGTGGGGAAACCAGAGCTGCACACATTATTCCAAGTGTGTCTGCACCATGGATTTGTATTAGGGCACTATGAACTTGATCACTCATAATTCCTCACATAGATTTTACATTTTTTGCAGCTACCACACACTGCTTTAAGTTACCTACCACAATCCTAGTATGTTTCCCCTAGTTAGTCACTAGCAGTTCAGAAGCCATCAGTGTATATATGACATTAAGAAGTTTAGGTTAATCAGACACACTGAGCTGCATTTGCCATTTTGTTACCTATTCACTTAGTTTCAAGAAATCCTTTAGAAGGTCTTCGCAGTCTGCTTTGGTTTTCAACACCCTGAGTGATTTGGTTACCTAAAGGCTCACTTCTACATCCAGATCATTTATTATTAAGTAAAAAAGCATCAAATAGGAAGGACCCCACTTCCTATTTCTCTAGATTATGAAAATCATTCCCACTCTCTTGCTGTTGAAGCTGCTACCAACCCATAATAATTCTCATTCTCATTTCCAATAATTGGTAAGGAGCCTTTGGGGAGAGAAGTCTTTCATTAAAAATAAAACTGGAACTATACCGTTTCTATTGGACCACACCTATATACATGTTGATGCCACCAAAGACATCTAAAAGGATGGAAACGCAGAACTTCCTTTTGCAGGAGCAAGGAATTTTCTCCTCAGCAAGACTTTTTATTTTATATGCTTAATAATCCTGTACTTAATAATGCTTTCCACCAATTTCCCTGGAACAGAGATTAAACTAACTGGCCTGTCATCCCATACACCTAATCTCTCTAACAATTATTACTAGTTTTACATCATGTATTTTCCAATTCTTCAATCCAAATACTATCCTTAGGGACAGGCTGCTTATTTTTGTTACAATATACATTTTAAATCTGAATTCTTTAAGAATTCTTGCCTAGATTCCATCTAGATAGATGACTTGATAATTTATCAGTGAACTCTAAAACTTTTTCTCATCTCTTGGACTCATCTTTTAGGCATCCATCTTAAAACAAAAGGAACAAACAAACAAACAAAAAAAACCCAGATCCAAGCACATCTATGTCCTACATTTTCTACAGTAAAGAGTTGCCAAGATTTTGATTCAGCTTCTCTGCAGTCTCCACATCCCCCTTTGCCACTCATTTTATCGTCTCATGTTTAATTGCCTCTCTAGCTGGTTTCCTATTTCTGATACAATTAAAGAGATCTGTATCGCTGATTTGATATTTTTAGCCATATACTCTTCAAATTCTTTTTTCACTTGCAGAGTCTTGCTATCTTGCATATGTTGTGCCAGATCTTGGGCTCTTTCTTCTCATTTGGACAAGAATTCTATTTCTGAAGACAACCTTGCTGTTTATAGCTTCTTTTAATTTACTTCTTAACCATGCTGGCATCCCCTTGGATTTATAGGTACTTTTCCTGCTCTTTGATATACATTCTAGCTAAACTTCTATTTAAATAACCTTCAATAACCTTTCACTCATGGAGGAAGTTGACTCTCCCCTTTCCACTTCCTTGTAACTAAATCCATCATTTTCTTTTTAAAATAAAATGGCCCCTTTGAAATCAATAGTAGCCATGCTGGACTTTCTTGGTACTTTTCCACTCAACTGATGGCAACCCAGTTTCCAGTCAGTTCAACACTGACATCTCACACCTGAGAAGTGAAATGAACATTTCTGTACAAGAAGACTCTGCTTTATCCTGTCTCAGGGATTGATTCAGGAATTAT